TTTTGTATAAGTAGCATATTGCAATTTCAAAAATCTATTTTTTTATATCAGTTTTCTGACATTCTTTTGTAAAGCTTCTTTTGAAATATATAGCGAAGAAAAATTTTTTTTAATTGCATGGCACTATTGTCTTCTTTAATTTTGTTGAGATTGATGTCACATAGCATTTTTGAAGTTGGTTAGAACCAGGGTATCATGTGATTTGAGCCACGATTTAAATTTTTTACCTCATTAAAAAATTAAAATAAATACGATAATCTACTAAGAAATTAAAATTTTGCGACATGGTCAATATATTAAAAGTGCTCATTGTTAACATGATTTGAGATAGTATTTGTATTTTTCACCTTTTTGAAAATTAAAATAAATGAAATATTATCTATTATGAACATATAATTTTATGATACTGATTAATTTATCATTAATCAGCATTACAATTACTTTTGTTTTAAAATATACTTAATTTAGAAACGCATACTATTAGGTATAGTTCACTACAATATAATTAAATAATAAATACATATTGAATAATAAAGTGTTTAAATACATTTTCATTGCTTTCCCCTTCATTAAAAAACATAGTGGACAAAGTTACCCATTCAACTAGAATAACTTTGTCCATTAGATGTTTCGTGCTAAGAACTACCTCTAATGTAAATTTCTAAGAAATGTTACTTTTGCGAAGCAAAATGTGCAAAAATATACTTAAGAATTAATAAATTATAATCGAAACTATTTTTAAGTTATGCACTCTTTAAACGGCTAGATTCTCGTTATAAAAATTTAGCAGGTAACTATTGACAGAAATAACATTAAAAAAAAAAAAGAGTACTAGCTGATACGTAATATAACTAACGATGTTTGGAAACAATCTTCATCAAAAAGAAATTTGCCTTACCGTTTCCTTGACGATGGAGTTTTGAAAACAAAGTCGATCAGAGAAGTGGTCGATTCGTCAACTTTTTCAAGAGAAGTAAACAACTTCCTTTTGTCTATTTCCTCAAATACGAAACTTTCTGGTCATCATCACTGCAAATCCTTAACATATTTGCCTGAAAACATTTCCCCCCCAAGAAATTTCTCCATCTCAAAATTCATGTCAGCAACCTTCAAGTTCTATCGTTTTTCATAATTTGAATATTTTGTTTCCTAATTGGATCAAGAGTAGAGATGCTTGTAACTTCCTAACTACTGAAGTCAGAATTGCGCTTTGACACTCTGTGACTGTGCGAGGTAGACCAAGCAATCCCTATATTATAATGGATTATGGAGCAACATTACCCAACATAACATTTAAGTATAAAAATTCCACAATCATATTCTTCAAATAGGGCTCAATGTTCTATGAAACACAAAATTGAAATATGAAAAAAAAAAAAACTTACCTGTCATTTTTATAGGCTTAACGGATCTTGTTAACAGTCACTTTACATACAAACTAATCATTTTTGCACTGATAAACTATCACTGAATGGAAATATTTCTTTACTTTAAACTCTGTTAATGAATGGGCAAAGTAATTCTTCAAGAAAGTAATAAGAAAATAAAGCAGGTGTTCACTTATCATTTACTTTTTAATATCGTTTATAAGTATACTTATGACTAACTTTCTGATCAAAATGTTTCGCATTCCAAACATTTTAAACACAAATTATAACTAGTGATTTCGAAAGCGAAGCCAGATTTCAACACAAATTCAAAAATTGGGCTCTATTTCGATAAATGAATTGTGGCACACCAAATTGAGCCTTATTTCTAAAAATGAATTGTGCCTAATTCCGATACTACATTGAGCCTAACTCCTATAGCAAATTGAAAACGATTTCGATACTGACAAGTGAATTTATTTTGATACTAATAAATGAATTGTTTCCGATTTTGATAAAGATTTCTGAGCTTGTTGAGTCAATGTTTTTTAGAGATTCTGTAAAATTACACTGGCAGGCCTTGTAGTGGGCCAAAAAGATCAGGATATTTTTTTTGTACAGTACACAAGTACCAAGACTACTTAAAAAAAAAAGCCACAACAAACTAAAAAAGTATAACTTTCTCTATTAATGGAAATAAGGCAATTTTTTTTGCAAAAAATAATAAAATATACTATTTTTAACTTCAGAATTACTTTCTTCAGGTCTGAAGGTTTTAACTATAATTTTATTCATTGTAAGCAACTCAGAATAGTTTGATAATAAAATATAGAAACTTTTTACAGTACTGGTGCATTAAAAAAAAACCAGTATCAATTAGTCAATAATTCTTTTTAGAGATATTTAATTAAAACTTCTAATCAAGCTCTAGACTTCCATAATTAAAAAATATTAAAGCAGGTTTTTCATAAACTAAAAATGTAAACGACACACAGTAAATATGCTGCATCAACATTTTTGTGCAAAAGTAATTTTTTTATCCTTCAACACTCCATTTGAAAAATCTATGATTATCATTGATTGGGATTGTTGATTGGGATCAATAGCTGTGAAGCTATAAAACTCCATCCTACAAGATTTGTTACTGCACAATAAAAAAGTGTATGACCCTTGAGTCAAAACGTCCTACTGTAAAAATATAATGTAAAATTGTTAAACTGCTATTTGATAAAATGACTGGATTCTCAAAATATTTGAAGCTATATGCCTGAAACATGTACAAATTTGACGGATGCACCCCTAGTTTGAAATATTGAACCAATTTTCAATATCAATTTTTACAAGCATTATCAATCAAAAAAGTTGGATCAAGAATCCAAAGCCTTTCGATTCTTCAAATCATTTTAATATCCACATTGTATTCATAGAAAACTGAATGTTCTGAACACACACAAAAATCAGGAAATGGGGACAAAAAAATAAGAAAAAAATAAGAAACAAATAAGATCAAGAAATTTTTTAACAGGAAAATAAGAATAACTAAGATCACATCATCAGTGGCCATATTAACCCCAATTAACGGTATTATATTATGACATATTAAAATCAAATATATTGATCCATTGTCATAAAAATAAAATAGTAGTATCACTGAATTGTTTATTTCAGAAAAAATTTAACATTTTTGTCACATTTTACACAATTGTGAAAAATATTTTAAAATTGAAGTATATGTTTTTTATTTCCAAGCCACATTGTTAATTAAAAAAGAAAAACAATGTTGATAGATTTTGTGAACAATTAAACATTTTTTCTTTGATTTCATTGTTCCATAAAAGAATAAATAACTAGAAGAAGAGAACTAACTTAGATTCAATTACAGCATCTCAATTATAACAAAGGTTGTAGTTAGATTCTACAACAAAACAAAAAGCAAGACTAAAAATAGTTAAAGCATAATAGACAAAAGAAATGAATCTTTTTTTTAATATACATATATTGTAAATAACAAATACACATATGATACAGAAATATTTTTTATTTTCCTTTGAAGCATTCAAAAATAGTAGTGTAGATAAAGCATATATTCTCTATGAATTTCATAAAGAAACTTTCTTCAAACAGAGAATTTAAACTTCTTTAAATTTTAGAACATTATATTTTTGATTAAAAATGTGCATATTGCAGATTTTTAATGCAATTTTAAATATTTTTTTGTGTATTAAATCTCTTGAAATCAACTGGAAAAATAATAAAAAGAGTCTTGCCTAAAAACATGTTTAATTTCAAAAATTTATAAAATTTTGAGTAGTAATGCAAAGTGCCAAGAAAACTATTAAAATATAACATCATATGAGATTCTGAAAAAATGCATTCCTAAAGTTGTTTTAATAAAACTATGAGTGAATACAAATTTATTAATAAACAACTTAAAAAATTCTCTTCTAGACATTGTGAGACACAATTTTTAAGTCTAACTTGAAAATGTGAAAAAAATGCTTATTAATAATAAAATGCTTGGTACAAACTGCCATTGACAAAAATTTGAAAGGAAAGGATACTTTAGAAGAATTTACATGAACAGAACAAAGCATAGTGAGCTTATGATGTATTGTTAAAGCCAACTCCCAATGGAAAAAGCATGATTAAATAGTTGAATGAATGAATGATCTAAATGATATTTTAGTCATTTTGAGTAATTAAGCTTTAAAGTTCATAAATTGACAGTAAGAAAAGAATTCTACGCCTTGCTTTTATTTCTTGTTTGCAAGCTTAATTAAGGATAATCTTGACATTTATTTAAGTTATTTGCTTCATGGCATTCACACTCATAACATTTTAATTTGCTGCCACAAAAGAAGTGTTATAAAGTCAACTGATAACTGTTAAATGCACTTAAATCTTTCATCAACTCCAAAAACATTCAAAGACTTTTAATTAGATTCTTCAGTCACAGAGATCTTTGCAATTAAAAGGCGTAACAAAATAAATGAATGCTGTTGAGTTAAATAAGACTAAAATAAGAACATCCACTTAACTCTCCAATTATGAAACATGAAGGACAGTGGACACATGTGTTTTTATGATAGTATTAACCATTCGTGTCCACTGTCAAGGGATAAGTAGCATCAGAGGGTTAATAAATTAACATGTGTATTATAACAAAAGTTTTAAATTATCACACAGATGAAAGACGTCACTAGTGACCAGTGTCTCAAATGTGTGAGATCAGCACCCAGGCATTTTAAGGGTGGCGATAATGAAAAGTGGACAAAATGTAATAGAGCCATTTTCCATGGTTAAAAAGTAAGGTAAGACGTTTGCATGAGAGTATTCAAAATAAAATGCTCTCACACAAATTGAAAGCTAAGCAAGGATGCATCCAAGACAGAACAATGCAGGGTAGTATGTTTAATTTAAAATGATGAGTGTAATATTTCATTGTTTGATGTGTATTCAAGCAAATTAATCATAAAAATAAAAAATAAATTTGAAGACAAAAGCTTGTGTTAAAACAAACTAACATTTTCTGGAGTTAATGACAGTTTTTAAACAGTTAGTTCTTGACTTCATTCCCCTTACAGATATTTACCCAGTAAAACAAATAGATTAAGTAGATTATTCCCAAAATCATGCGATCTGCAGTCTTTTTAATGTCAGATATTTAATATTACATGGTGATAGAGCATATATTTGGGCAAGACAAGATTAGACATAATATTTTGAGATACATACAAACATCAAAGTTTCTTTAATTGTTAACAGATAAAGAACCTTACAAATTCATGCAATTGTAAAAGATATAGTTCAGAACATTTTATTTTGTTTCAGAAAAAAAATTATGGTATAACAAAGCGAATCTGTACTCTATCTGCACTACTATTTAAAAGGAATAATTTCGTGATATTGTTTAAAAAGACACTATATTTTTATGAACAGAGCAAAATAGTATAAGGAATAAAGTAGTAAAAATAAATGCAGAAAAAAATTTATTTATTAAATAAAACAGAAATTTGTGATTCTTGTATATTTATAAGCATATTAACTCTCTGGCATTATAACAAACGGGTTTCTTATCTGCACATAATTTTTCTACACACCAAAAAACCTATTTGAATGGCTATGCAGATCAAAAAAATATATACAATGATGGGAATCAGTCACTTCTTAACATTCAAAATTTCTCAAATTTAAAAAAATGGTGCTTTAAAACATACAAATTATTTTAAAAAAAATCATAGGCTTAAAGCTGCAAAATCAAAAATTAAGCTTCTATTTTGTGACAAGAAATTTGTGATAAATGTTTTTAAATCTTTCCCTTGCATTTAGAAAGATGCTAGTATACATGGATTTTACATTCTGGGTTCAATGAAACATATTTAAAAAGTTGTAGTAAGTTTTCCATGTAGGATATAAAGTCATTTTATCAGTAAAAATGTAATGTGTTATTTTTCAAATTTAATTCCTTAATCTTGCCTCAGATTTTTGTGGGCTAGGTCAATTGTGGGAACCTCTTAAATAAGTATTCAAGTAAAAAGAGAGAGAAAGAAAAACAATAATACCCTTGGGAGGTCCGATGTCTTACAATTTAAACAAAATCTTCCAAAAAAATTCTGCGGAACAAAAAGTAAATAAAAGCCATTAAAATGCCTAAAGAGTTAATTTATTCAATCTGAAAATACAGTTACTATCAGTTGAAATTAAACAAGTTTTTTTAATTATTAATAATTAGGTTAATCAAAAATTAATGACTACAACAAAAAGCTTTTCAATTGGAATTATAATAAATATAATAATTTTATCTATCTCTTATTAAACAAAATAAAAATTCTTTTATTTGCTAAAAGATATTCATGCTGTCTAATTTTTAAGAACAAAGAATAAGGATTGCAAAATAAAATTGAAACTTTTTTCCTAGGGTGAAAATTTTATAATATCTTAATTATTCATACATTTCCATTTTAACTCTATGTAGATATTTACTTGGCTTATATCCTTATGTATTTTAAGATATAATACATATTCAAAATTTTGAATGCATCAGTTCTTGAGTTATTTGAATCCCATCACTGTCTATAAGCTAGATAGGCAGGGGGTTAATGTAAAACAAAAATAAATTCTAAAAATAAAATATCGCAAAATTGTTTCATAAAACAATATAGTTTTAGCTGCCAATATACAAAACTATGATCATAATACAATGAAAGATCTAAGTAACTGTACAAATGAAATTAAAACAATATACAGCTTAGTGAAAAATGACTGGTGTGATAAATATTTTCAGGCACTTTATCTTGTAACAAAGCTGCCAAAAAGATTTCAAGCTGGGTCACAACTTTTTTTCTTTCTACCTCTTGGCTTAATAGTCTCAGAAATTTGCCACATAGCTTCTTCACATAAATAATCATCAAAATTGTTGAAAAATGATATGATTTGTTCATTCCTTTTGACAGGATATTGGCTATAATAAAGCAAAAATAACTTAGAATTAAATACAAGAATAAATGGGTTTCTAGAAATTACAAAGATACTCACTTAAATGAAATTCAATTTTAGATTTATATAAATTCACACATTTAATGAAAAAATACTGACAAAAAGCTAACAATTGTTTAAAAAATAAATCAATTTGTGTTGAATACTAGTATAAACTGCTATTGCAGACAAAAATTTAACAAAAGTAAAATTATATACATTTGGCTAAAATCTTTTAAATTTAAACTAAGAAAATTTATTTAACTACAATGAACAGACATGACATATTACAATAAAAAAAACTAACTAAAATAGCAAAGATGACAAAGAACATCTTGAGATCCTGATACATTACAACTATTGAATTTTTTAGAAGAATTGATTCAACAAATATGCAAAATGGTACACATATTCTGCATGAGACATATATGTTGCAAACATATTAAAAATAATTATTTTTCCCCATCTTCTAAAGGACAATTTGATGGATTATCAAGAGATAAATTGATACTTTTTTTGTTCTTTTCCTTTTTATCTTTTAAGCTGTAACACTATTTAGGTAAATTAGTTGAATAATTTTTATGCCAAAGACTATTTTTATTGAATACAGATAACTAGAAGTCTCTGCTCTCTGGTAGCTAAACATGCTGATCCCCAGAAAGTATTGCACAATTCCAATATGGTGCTTGGCAAACCAATGGATTGTTGTGAATTTCCTGTAGATGGCCTCACTGTTTGATAACAAATGCCCAACAGCTCATAAACAGCTGCTTTGCATAATAGTTTGTGATTTTTATAATAAATGTTAAAAAAATTATTTATCATAAAAATAAATTACTAGCATCATTTTTAAGTGGCACAAAATCTAAATAATTTTTGAAAATTGAATTTTTTCTTGACCACTCTGGGTACATGGCAAAAAACAGATTCATTATCCTATTTAATTTTCTAATTCAACAAATTTTATATCATCTTCTATTCTCTGTTATTTTCAAAAATAAAAATTTTCCAACCAATATTGCGCATTAATATTTAACTAGCATGAAAAAAGCATAAATTAGATTTATTTTAACTTTTTACTTTAAATAAATGCTTGTTTTCTATTAGTATTAACAAAATACAAATTTTAAATCTGTTTTTCAAAACTAAAACTTTTACTCTTATCTTCCTATTTTTAATGACAGAATACTATTTATAATGTCACAAAGTGTTTATTTCACATTATTTTTTAAGAATAGTAAACATTTATAACAACCAAATTAGCAGTGAAAATCAGTTAATCATAGTCTGTAAGAATTTTGAGAGGAGCACATAGGACTTTCTAAGATATTATTGTTAATTTGGCATTTTAAGAAAAGAAATTATAATTAAAATTATGAAATCATTAAGAAATCAACATTATCCAGAGCTTAAAACTTATATGTTTTGGACAGTTCTAGGTAGTTGCCTGGTAAAACATTTATTTTGAACTGGTAATTGATGGACATCATAAATCTCTAGTCACTTCGCATAGCTGATAAGCACTAAATAACAAATTTCGTCCAAAAGAGTCTCCATTCTTTAAAGAGGAAAAAAAAGAAATACCTATTTTTGAATCTCCTCATATTATCAAGTATATTAAACTGCTGCCATCGTTTTGAAAAATTTACTGCTTCTTCTGTAAGCATGTCACTGTTGCCAATATGAACAAATGTTAAGTCTTGTAAAATTAATCCTCTGTGAAAAAAAAAGGAAAATAATTTATATGTATACAAATACTCAAATTTTAAATACTTTTGACAAATCTCAATTACTAATTTATTTTACCTCTTATTTAGTTAGAATATAATATTCGAGACAAGAGAACAATAACAGAATAACATAAGAAACACATAAAACAGAAAAAAACTATACAAATTATGGAGTATTAAAATTTTGTCTAACTCTCTCTCTCTCTCTCAGGTAAATACAAGTCTGAGAGCGAAGAGAGAAACTCAAAGAGATCTGAAAACACTGGGAAATTTATCACAAGGAATGGTTGTTCCTAAAATAATTTTAAAAAAACATAAAAACCTATTTAGCACCTTTTTTTATGAATTGCACAAAACCGATTTTCAGAATGTATAGAAACATTAGAAAGACTCCACTCACCACATATTTAAGTGCTCGCTTGCAGTTACTTACTTTTTCTCTTTAGTACGTTTTATAATAATGAAGGCAGGGTTCAGCAAAGTAAAAGAAAGGCAATTGTCCATAATAGCTTCATAATGGAAATCAATGTAACAAAATTAACATCCTGGAGTTAAGCAGAATTTTGTGTCTAAATGAAGTTTAGACAGTTAGAGCATTTGGACAACAATCTGTCATAGACTGAGAGTCAAGTTTCATCAAAAACAAAACTTATTTATTAACATGGAGTGCATTGTTAAGATATCTATCTTAATCTCACAAATATAGACATTTACTTTTTTTGCATTTTAAATTAATTTGTACTATTCAAAATAAATGCATAACTGGTTTTAATTAATTATATCTTTACGGAAATATTTATTTTTTGATATTGTGTAATAGATATGCTTGGTATTTCTGCCAAATTAATTCTGCCATTATGTGGCAGATTTACAGTTTATAGAATTAGTTTATTTTTTGTAAAAAGTTACTTCAAGTTGTAAAATTTGCAAGTGAACCAAAAAAAATATGTAATTTTATACTTTGTTGAATCAAATGACTAATAATTTGCCCAACATCAGCATAATTACCTGACTCTTAGTTAACATGGAAACTAAGCAAAACATAGCTCAATGAATTTAAAAATATTGTGACATACAGAAAGAAAACAAAATTTGACAGAAACCTTCACCATGTGAGGTAACTGATTCTGTTACCATTTGCAGCCAAAATGAACAAAATTTTGAAGCTACCAGTTTTAACTAAATAAGTTCAGCTAAGATTAAAAAAAACTCTAGTGTAAAGTTGGATTATAAATATTAAATTTGGAATGAGACATATCTAAGAGCACTCCACAGTTAAAAAAAACTCAAACAAGGAAATGAATTCTATAATTACAAACTTATTTATCTTTGTGCCACATACAGTTTAGTTAGAAATGTTAGTTTCTAGTCAAATGTACAAAATAGTAAACCAACCCACATTCTTGAATGGGAAGGAAAGTTTGCATTAAACAAGAGAACTCCTTCATTTTCTGAATGGTTTTTAATGAATAAAATTTCCATTGAATTCTTTTATGAAAAACATACTTTTTTGCTATCTTATTCAAAAAAAACTTTTACAGTTTCAAAAGCCACCTATGATAGACTAAATATTTTTGATACAGTTATTTATTGTAACTGCTGAAGAGATCTGGCTTAATAAAAAAAGTTCGTCTTTCCTTTTTTTGTTGAACTATAAGAAATATGTAAAGATACAATATAATATTTAAATGATGTATATACAGTCAAACCTTGCTATAGGGAACACGGTTTATAGTGAACTCCCGGATATAGTGAACGAAATGTTCGGTCCCGTGCCTTGCTATACACGGATAATGTTATTTTTTGTGGATATAGTGAACCAAAAAAGGGAGGAAGTTGGATATAGTGAACTTTTTTCTGTCTTTGACTGATTTATTTACAAAATTTTTTGTAATAGTTTTGAAATTTCTACTTCAAATTAAATACATATACCGATTTTCAAAACCATCTATAGAGGGGAATGTAGCGATAAGCATTTTTTCTTGTTTGCCTTTTTTATCTCACCTTCCCATCCCTAAACAAACTAAGCAGATGTTTCCAACCCTGGCAGACGATGCATCTGTAAGGTAACAGCGGGATCAATATCCATTTTTTTCAGAGGGAATGAGTAATTATTGATTATTGGTCAAAGAGTTGGACACTAATATGTGTTGATATGGCCTGCATTTCAACTCCTTTTTGCTCTCAGTTCAGTTAAAATAAATCCAGCAAACAAGTGTCTCAAATTTTACTATGGTTAGCAGTAAACGTAAAACGTTCTCCATTGATGATAAAATGGGCATAATCAGAAAAATTGAAAATGGATGCAGTCAAGCTGATATTTGCAGGGAATATAAACTATCCAAATCTGCAGTTTGTTACGTATAGAAAAATAGACAATTAATAATTTCTGCTCATGAAAAAAATTTAGATGGTGGAAAAAAGTTGAGAAAAGCAGATCACAAGGATAATGAAGAAACATTGCTGAAGTGGTTCACCAATCGAAGAAGCCGCAATCTTCCAGTATCTGGCAAATGTCGATGAATTTGCTAAGCGATTTTATGAAACTACTTTTATGTGCTCGAATGGCAGGTTTGACAGGTTTAAAAAGCGGAATAACAGAAATTCAGGAAAAATTATCTGAGAGTCGGGAAGTGTTTCCATATCTGATGTTGAGGATTGCTCATCAGCTAAAGATTACTAATTTTTTTGTACGCAAGACGAAGAGTAATGAAAATTAACACATTATTTGCTACTACATAATATTTTTCAGTAATTTTTTGAATAATGTGTTATAAAAGGGAGGAGTTAAGGAACCATTAGTTATAGTGAACCGAAACTTCGGTCCCTTGATGGTTCACTATAGCGGGGTTTGACTGTATATATATAATATTAATAATAGAATAGACAATGACTAATAATTTGAAAAGATATTAACTTAGTAAACAAATATAATGAAACACTGAACTTACATATACGGAATGCAAGGGGGACTAGTTTCAGCTAATGCTTGCCTATAAGCCCGGAAAGAGGAGGAACTATCTATCAATGCACAATACTCCTTTAGACCCTAATAAAAGTATAACGTTAAAATATCACCACATTATGACAATAAATACATGTGATAGAATTAATGAAGCTCAAGCAAAAGTGGGGATTAGTGTAATTTTTTTGCAGTTTGTTAATATATATATATATCAACTTTGACAGGTCGATTTAATATCAATTAACCATATTTGGAGAATTTAACTGGTTTCCTTGTACTTAAATCTTAACTGTCATTTTAGAAAGACATCTCCTCTAACCACAGACAGATGATGCTCCTCCAGCAATCCAGAGCTCCCATTTAAGCTCTTTCCATTTAAGCTCTTTTATTCAATAAATGTTTTCTTATGGTAACTCTTGCAATAGTACGAAAACTAATCAAACATATGATTATTTACAACAAAGTAAATTAAAAATAACAAAGGAGTACCAGAAGATTACATAAACAGTTAAATATTTGCAGTTATATCAAACTGTAATCATACAACTAAATTTCATTGAACTGACAAAACTTGTTTCTGACAGCTCATAATATGTTTCATTCATCAACTAGAGCAATTTAGGTAGATCCATCGAACCAAACGTTGGAAATGGCTCCTAATCTGATTATGAAAATATTATTATGAAATAAACATGAATTGATCAATTTTTATTTTAGGTGACATTTCTTATTGAGTTATTTGAAATCTTACTACCAAACAAAGAATCATGAAGGCATTTTACAAGCTTATTATTTAATTTTTTAAAAAGTTGGCAATCGAACAATTTAAAAAATTTAATTTATTTATAAATTGACTTCTGTTTTCAAAATGTTTACAAACAAGAAAAGATCAATGTAGCCCTATCATTTATATAAAATATTATTTAAGAATCAAAACAAATAATTTACCTCTGTTATATTTCTTTGCCATTCTAAACGTCTTATAGGTGCAGAATCTAAAGCAGATAATATAGCTAAATAGGAATTAAAGTTGTTAAGCTTCCTCAAGCATTTCATGACTTTTATAAACTTCACCACATATCTTTCTCGATCTTTTGCATCTTCTTGTTCTAGAATTCGAGATCGAGCCCTAAAAGAATGTTATGCCATTGAAAAGCACACAATCGCACAATAAAAATAAACTATTCTTAACAAAAAATTAAATAATTTTCATCCAATGAATGAAATCTTAAGCAATATGCTCAATATGTAGAGGTTAAATTTAAAAAAAAAAAACAATAGTAAAACAATTTAGCTTAGTAACTATTGAGACCTTAGGCAAAATTGTTCTGAAATTTCCCTGTTCTCATTATTATTCTCACTATGTTCGTTGTCATTAAATAAAATATGAGGAAAATCTACAGTTTAAACCAGGAGAAGGAGCAACCTAAAAAGTCACATGATTAGATCCCATACTTCAATATTTTAAATGTGATACAAATAGTGTTATTTAGTATAACTGATTTTTATTATAATAAGTGAACAGGGGTGCCACTCTAAAAAAATTTCAGAACCAAAAAAGGGAGGAAGTTGNTATAATAAGTGAATAAAGATTAGATGAAATATGAGAAATAATTTAAAAATAAGAGACATAATTTTAAAAATATGCTTATAGGAAATTGACATTTATGCAAATAAAAACAATAATAAAATAATCTTACTGCTAAGATAAATTGCAACTGTAATAAACAATACTTATGTTATCCATACAAATTTTTAAAAAATAGATTCTTGTGGTGATGAATAAGATTATTTTTACACTTTGAGCATTTTCTTCAAATTTTTCTGTCTTTGGCTTGTGGGTGTTCATCACATTTTTTTGTACTTTGACCTGTTGCATGCCAACAGTATTGTAACTATTTATGTTATTGTAGCAATATAACTATTTATTTAAAGAAACTTATTACTTTGAAATCCTTCTCACTTACTAGAAAGACAAAATAAAATAGTAAAAAAGAACAAATATTAAGAAAGAAAGAATAAATTTTAAAAATAAAGAAAAATCATGTGTTCTGATATTGTTGAATTCCAAAATTTGATGCAGAAGTTAAATTAGAGTAGGTAAAATGATTTCACTCTCGCCTTAACTTTTTCATTTAAATTTCAACTATTATAATAATTATTTTTTATGCACAGCAATTGGTGTCAGTCAGCATGATTAGGGAATAAAAAATTAGCTTTGTTTTATAAATTTTTATTTAAAATCAAAATTTGAGGAAGTTCTTAATCAGCATTTTAGAGTATTTGTGATTAAATGACTATAGGCCCAGCCAAGCATACAAGGTTCATAAGTACATGCTGTTGTTCTGAAGTCCACAGTTAAGTAGAAAGTAAGATATTTAATGTAGAAGCAAATTTTGGGTCCACAAAATATGAATAGCTTTTTTTTTATATAATGTTGGGGTGTGATGTGTGCCTCCTCATACTTTAAAGTTTAAAAAAAACCAGGGCTAATACTTAGACAAATAAAGATATTATACATAAAGCTTGAGTAATTTATAAAGGACACGTTTAAAATAATGAATATCATTTACCATTATGAATATCAGTTATCCATATACAAGGAAAATTGAAGAAAAGTTTTATAAGAGGCAGCTGTTTTTGGAGTAATGTATAATATTGTTTTGGAGTAATGTAATTGAAGTAATTTATAATACTTTAAATTCTTACAAGAACACTTTAACTTGAAGCCTCAAACTCATGCTATAGTTTTAGTTAGCTCTATAGTTTTTTATTTAAAAAAACTGTCATTTTAAAATTGACATTACAACGATTAGTTCAAAGATTACACTGAAATAAAAAAATGGTTTTAATTTTTAAAATTTAAATTAAACTATATTATTGCAAATAAATTATTTTGATAGCTTAAGGGGACTTTTTTAAATAGCCAAGACCTTAATAGACCACACCAAAATAGGTCTTCAAGGTTCAACAAAATTGGTACCAAAAATTGTAGGACAAAATTATAATCATGTTGTAATGAGAAAATTTGCCTTTATTAGAAGATGATATTTATTTTCAATTGTCCATATTTCATTTCAAGAATTAGATTTGATAAATAAAAATGATTTCATTTTTTGAAAATATGGAAAGTAAAAAGGATTTGTCATTTTTATGTGCACATGAAATATTCAATATCATAAAGTTCGAAAATGTCTCGGAGGGTGTGGCTGCAGGGCCAAGACCCACAGGACACCTCTATCCACCAAAAAATCAAAAATGCAAGTCATGTATACATTAGAATAGTTTTCACCAAGGAAAGTTAAAGAATCCATGTGTCAACTGTTAATTAATTTAACTGCCTAAGCTCTTTTTTAAAACCTTATGCATTGAAATGTGTTGGCGGAAAAGAAAGTGAGGGAAATAATAAAGAATTTTAATAAAATCAAAACATTTTGCAATAATAAAACGGTTTTTAAAATTCTAGGCTAATGTCTAAGGCAGATGCAGAAATGACGCAGATGAATCTCTAAGAATAGATTTTATTCTGCTCTCAATTCAAGGTGGTGTTATAAAAGATATTACCAATTATATTAATGATTTTTATTTATTTTTAAAATAATTAAATAAGATAGCAATTAANTTTCGAAAATGTCTCGGAGGGTGTGGCTGCAGGGCCAAGACCCACAGGACACCTCTATCCAATTCAATTCTAAAAATAAAATATCGCAAAATTGTTTCATAAAACAATATAGTTTTAGCTGCCAATATACAATATACTTTAAGTCTAATTCTTCCTAAATTCAAAATGCTGAGTGTGAGTGTTTCAAACTGCCATTGCAGAGTTGAATGAAACAAACATAAATATTATAAGAAGTACAATTAGTCAATCATACAAAACATAACTATTCATAAAAAAGCATGCATCCAAGAGATACATAATATACAAAATATTAACAAACCAGTAAGACATTTTGTTGAAGTGCTCAGTAAAAGTTGTGAGATTAGGACTAAGATCTTCCTTTTGCTCCCTTGCCCAAAGCAACACTTCTGGTATCTAAAACATAACAGCAAAATTACAAGTTAACTTGTTTGATGCTTTAATTTTCTCAGTTCTATTGAGTTCTATTCTTTCTCAATTCTATTGAGTATTGAGTTTTCTCAGTACATCAGTTCAGTTCTATTGTTGACATATATTAAATCTAAACATCTCAACATAAGAAAAAAAAAAAAAAANAAAAAAAAAAAAAAAAAAAAAAAAAAAAAAAAGAAGAAGAAAAGAAAAGGTAATCGAATATTTCGGAAAAAATAATTAACTTTGTAATCTGCTTAATACTTTATTTTTTTTGCAACTAAATTTTATTAATGTATTAGTAATATTATTAAATGGTAACTGTAATTGTCTTCTCAGTTAAATTAAGTTACTTAATGGTATGCTCTTCATTTGATAAGTCAATAGTTTTCATAGAAGAGACAATACAGCTTTAAATGAAATCACTAATTGTCAAATTATAAGGTGAAATTTGTATAAAAACGTACTTGAAATAAGAATTTAAGTAATTTTTCAATTGAAAAGCACAAGGAAAAGTTTATTTGTACAACGGACAGCAAAAAGCATAAATTAATGTAGTATTTAACACACATATTTAAAATTTTTGTGTTAAGGGTCAAGGGGATAATGGTTGTAGGCATCCAGTCAAAGGGAACATGGTTGGCAGTTTCAATAACATTTCATTTATACACTTCAAACAACAAATCCTACTAATCAGTCTCTTAATTCTTTTAATAGACATGTAATCCAGAATTAAAATTAGATTTCATTTTTCGAAAAATATTAGTATTTTGCTATTAGTAAAATTTTAAAAAGCTTTTAGTATTTTGTCTTACTATATTTAATATTTCGAATTATGTATATGTTAAAGAATCTTTCAAATTTCAGTTCTTCTTTGTGAACTTGTTTCATCAATATTCTTTGGTTTGAGCTCTAAAGTAACTTGATCTATTTTCATTTTTAAGGATTCATCATTCGTCTCCTTCCCATTCTTTGACATAAATTTTTGTTTTCATTGTTTCCAAATTAACAAAAACACAAATTATCCAAATTATTAAATCACAGTATGATAGATAAAGAGATTTTTCGTAAATGGTAGAGAAAAAAATACTTATACAATATTTCCATTTAATTAATTAAATAAATAGTAAAGGAATGGTTAGCACAAATTTACTCAGATGAATCTTAAATTTTATAACCACCGTTCAACAGTCAACCCAATTTTGAGTTTACACTACCAATGTTCAACTCCATAGTCTTGCAATTTTGAACCCAATCCAGAAGACAAGGGAACTCCAATATCAAATATTGGGAGAAATTTTGTCTTTATGCAGGATTTTTTGATGGAACTAACCCACATTTGCCTTACATGGAGAGGAAAACCGTTAAAACCTCCCATGGTTAGTATGGCAGCAAGGAGACTCTAACCCAGAGGTCGCCAAAGTGGTCTATATAGACCCCAGGGGTCTATTTAACAAAAGTGGGGGTCGATCTGAGCCAGGGGGTCGAATGGAGGTCGATCCGAATCTGAAGGGCCGATTGGGGGTTGAAGAAAAAACAGTTCCTTGTACACAAATCAGACATACCTAACTAAGTATGTAAAATTTGTGAATTTCTTTATAATTGACTTAATATCAGTTTCTTCATAAAACATAAATTGATAAACGTATTAAACGTATATTTATTTGGGTGAAACAAGTATTTACGTACCAGCCGCAGTGGCACGTACTCTGCACTTCTGGTTTATAAGTCATATGCATATGTGCGCTTGTCCAAATGTCACGTGTGACGAGCATTGACGTTACAAACGTAAATATCATACCCAGTTTCAGCTATCTTTGCAAACTGTGAACAGTGTTGAATATTTGCAGTGTCATTATTAAAACTTTTATAGTTTTGGATAATTAGTTATTGTTTCAATAAAACCATTCGTTTAGTTTAGATATCAATTTTAATTATCAATGCATGTAAAAAAAGAAGGTAAGCATTAATAATATGACAGCAATATATAATTAATGTACAGCCCACCACAAAACTATGGCACTCTTTGTATTTTTTTACGAAAATTACAAAATTGACCAATTTCAACAAAAATTAAAATTGACCAATTTTGAAATCAATATAGCGAACCTTGCAAAAAAACACCCTGCGCACCCATCTAATTGATTAATAAGCAATAAATCTTTAGTTACTTTACTTATTATTTCTACTTATTCAAAACTACTTATCATTTAATAAATATTAAGGTATTTAAATTTCAACATTAATATATTTTTCATAAAACTATAGTTACACAATGTACTATTATTTTAATAAATGTTTAAAATCCTAAAATAAATGTACAAACTAGAGTTTTATTTTAATTAACAGAAAATTACTTTTATGAGGGTCGATGAAGATTTCCAAAAATTATATAAGGGTCGATGATCAAAAAAGTTTGACGACCCCTGCTCTAACCAATGATCTACCTACCACTGAGAATATTTTACGCCAGCACAGTGGTCAGGTTATACTGAGTGCGGAATTCGTATCAATCAGCCATCGCTGGGCTTCGATCCAGGTTCACCTCATTGGGAGGCGAACGCTCTATCCCCTGAGCCCTAACGGCTCCAAACCATAGATTTAAAATTGTTGAATTAGTTAATGAGTACCTACCCTTAAAGTGTGAGTTGCTTCTAGTGAAAATAGTAGTTTAACCATTTGCTTATGGCTGGTACAAGTGAAGGGTCAAATAATTAGGTGCCGTAAGCAAAATGTTAAATAAATTATTCTATTTTAAGCTGTTTACACAATCAGGAAAAGCAAATTTGTTTATAATAAATGTATTCACACCTCATAACATCAAAAAAATTTAGTTATTTTTTCCAAACAGCAAAAATATGAAGACTAAGAAATTTTCAATTCAAATCACTCTAATTAGAAAATATAAATTTATCATTTTATGATTTATTGTTAAATGTAAAGTAATTATTCAGCAATGAATGAAATCAGTTGGTTCTACTGCTATTTTCTTACTTCTTAAGCAATTTTCCTTTTGGGGCGTATACTAAAGAAAAGATTCATAATATAAAAATATATTTTGTGTTTAAGGAAAAAATTAAGAATATTTTGTTAGTATTCTTCAGTATTTTTTTTAACTGAAGGGATTTCTTTTTTTTGCTTTTTCCTGTGATTACACACTTCTTTTTAGGAGCATTGAAGTAAGAAGATTTCCTCAGCATTCACACATCTATCCACACTACTGAAATCAGTTCAGGGTAGGACAATTAATTGGGCAAAACAAGTGAAAAATATTTAACACCAATTTTTAAATTGTTTGATTTAATTAAATAAATTTTGATTTAATCACAGTAAGAAATATTTTATATAGTTAAATATTCAAACACAACAAAAAGGAAAATCAGAAGATAATTTCGATTCCAAACTTATTTGACCAATTTTTAAATAACAGTTAAATTTTCATATACAAAATTTTAAATCATATAATTAAGAAAATTTTCTTTTGTACTTACTTCAATTTTTTGAAAAAGGTCAGAGTCTAAAACAGTCATCTGCTCAGCTAAATTTTCTGATTTGAAGTCTAACAATAATGCCTTATGAGTAGAAATAGCCATTGAAGGTAAGAGAATCGGAGCATTCAATAAACTTCTTTGTTTTAAATAGCATTTCTCAACAACTTTTTTCCTTAAAGCTCTGGCAAGCAGAAGATCACCTCTGCATACAAGCTGACAGATGAAATCCATGAGTAACTTTAAAACATTCTCATGTATATCTGTAAGACTGATGAAAAAAAAGTTTGAACGTTTTACCTTACTATTTTGGAATAAACATAACATTTTAAAAATTGCAATAGCAAATCTGTAATGTGTAGGATACAAACTAACCTTATAATTTTCAGAAACCTGTATCCATTTTGGTTATTAAACATTTTATCATAAAATAAATAGAAAATTGACCAAGTCTTACGCTAAGCATATATAAAGTATATAATAAGTATGTTTTTGGAATATAAAAAATACAATAGCTCTTTTGTATTATTGTATATAAATATTTCATTATACATATAATTATCATATACCAAATAATAATAATTAGAATTTTAATTTTTAATAAATATAAGAAGCATTTTTAGGTATCTCACATTAACCGCTACAAGTGTAACTAATAAGTCAAACAAAGTGTAATCTAAAAATAATTGAAAAAATAGAACCAAACATTGTCAAATTGCAAGATTTAAATTATGAATATGAAATGAATTCAGTAATGGCTGCACAACTAGGTATGTTCTGCAAAATAGGATCATGTGCCTAAGAAATTATTCCAACTTAGCCATTTACATTCCAAAATATATATAATTACAGAATAAAATTTGGGGAAACTGAATATAGCAAATTTAGTATATTTGTTATCATTGTCAAAAAACATTTTTGAGAGTGTTTGATTTCAAGACTTGAAAGAAAAAGATTTTATCTTCACAAAACCTTTTGTTTACTTATAAAATATATAACCAGTTATTAGTGTGATATGCAAATAAAAATCTTTGCGCTGCAGACTAATGTGTAACACAGTTATTAAGAACATTCTAAAACGTTTTTGAAATGTATGCTCTCTTTCATGATTTCTACACAACCTATGCCCATAATATTTTTCTGAAGGTTTAATTTGTGAAGAGTACCTTTTTACCCCCTGTGATGAACTTGGTGAAAAAACAATCACAGTTTAACCCACATTTATCAAGTACATTAAAAGTCTTAATATTTTTTTCCATAAAATAAATATAAAAATAAATTAAACAGCTTAAACACTTGAATTTATATCTCTCTTTTATCCCTGTATTAATTCAACCAATGTTTTAACTGTAATATCTGATATTTCATGTTCATTTCTTTCCTTATTTTTTTTATTGCACACATTTAGTATAGAACTTCATAAACTGCGGTTTAGTAAAAGTGCAAAAGTATGTTCAAAAGTGTGGCAAATCAGGAGGCATCAAAAAAAAATTTTTCTTTATAAAATGACCAGTAAACTGTTCAATAGTAGAATATTTAATATAACAAGGCAATATTCATGCATAGAAACTGTAATAACACAGACACACGAAACTGTAAGAAGAAACTCACCATAAGTCATCAACAACCCTAACAAGTAATGCAAATGAATTTCTTGCTGCTCTTTGTCGCATATCAGACACATGTATAAACTTATTATATCTGTAGAGTAACTTGCAAATAAGATCATGAGGAGAGATGAAAGTGCGATATGTGGTTAAAAAAGCCTCTTGATAAAGGAAATCTAACAATAGACAAAAATCAAGACTTAATATTTATGTCATTTATACAACAACATAATTTTTTTGATTACATTTTTCTCTGACCCACTAACTGTAAAAGATTATATGAAACGAAATAATCACTGAATAAGAATTATTGAAATGCTATGCAAATTTTGAGAGCATCAATCAAGTTTAATAGTAAAAGTTAAAATAGAACAATTTTAAATTTAGAAACCTTATGAAACCAAGCATACTTTAAATTATGAATACTTATTTCTCTAATAATTTATATTTATCAATAAACTTTGAAAATTGAGATAATTATATACAATGCCATGTTTTTCTTTCAAGCAGAAGTGGAATCAAAAGACGGTCAAACAAAAGATAGCAAATTTCACAAAAAATGGTCAGTTCTTTTCAAGCCAAGTAATACAAAGACAATTTCTTACTATGAAGGCCTCATATAGAGATGTGCAAATCTCTTTCATTAATTAAATCAGTGATTCAACATCAAAATTCTTATAATGTTATGTGAGATGAACGAGATTAAAATAATTGAGGTTTACTATGCAAACATTTTTGTAATAAAATAAACTAATTGACTAATAACAATGAAACTTGCTTTTAAAATATATTTGTATCATTACATAATGCATATAAAGTAGAAGTTTGGTTGATCATTTTTCATGTTGCACTTTGTTGGGAATGATAGATAGGGGAAAGCGACAAATTCAGGTCAACATAAGATATAAAAAAAAGGACTTTAAAATGTTTATAAAGTAATAAAGAAGCAACGAACTTAAATTTACAAAAACATTATTAAATATTTTAATAACAAAATTTTGCACTTAGAGTAAAAGTATTTAAGATTCAAAAGAAATATGAATAAATGTATTTATTTATTTAAAATATTTGGAAATTTTGATTTGAACACTTTTTTTCGCAGAGCAAACAATAAACTTTCAACATACACAGTAGTTTGTTGTTCATTTATTATAAGTTCACATGAATATAGAAATTTATTCTTAGTTTTAAATATCTAAGGACTACAATAAATGTTGGCACTTGTTGTGGCTAAATTTTGCTGTCCTCATTGGTATCACTTTGTACTTTTTCAGCTTCTGCAACCATTTTTCTGACCAACATGAACAAGTTTCAAAATTTTCATCAATTCATGCATAAAATCAAGTGTGATGTTTGAAGCATTTTCCCCTAACTGCTGAGGTGCCAACTTTCCAAACTAGCGATCATAAATCAGAAGCACAATAACACAGATATATATATACAATTAGTGTTTACAACTTTCAAATAGCGTAATATTAAGATGTATATACTACATAATTCTATATAGGTATATAATATTAATAAAATTATGAATTAATTTACAATTAAATTGAAAAGTAAAGCTTGTATAAAAATACTAAATTAAAAATACAACACTGAAATTTTATACTTCATTATAAAATGCTAAAATTAAATTTATTATTTGGAGTCAAGATTCCAGCTTTTTGGTTAAATTGGAACTAACCTCTATTGATTTTTTATCATCTATATTTGAACTACTAAAAATTTTTGCTCACAGTATTTCAGATTTGAACTTGCTTGAAGGGTGAAAGATAAGTTATTTTTCGTATATCTTGTTTTTGTTTACCTTTGCCGTTTTTGTTTCTAGATTTTTATTTATTGTTTTTTAATTGCTTAAGGAGTAGAAAAAAATTAATTTATAATAGTTGAAAATGACAAAATTTCATAACTTTTGTACTTAACTTCATGTAACTTTTATTACTTAACTGTAAGACAGTAATCTTAACTAGGAAATAAAAAATAATTACCGATAAATTGCATTGGTTTGCAACTCTGCAACTGCAACAAACCTTCATTTTCTTCTTTATCATAAGAATCAGGAGTTAGTGTTTTTTGCCTCAAAATATAATAATTTCAATATATTCTTTTAAATGTCAATAAACTATCTGAATGATCGATGCAGGAATCTTCTAGTTTCGAAAAACGATCTAAATGGGTATTATTAATGTTATAAGATTAGCATTTGAAACGGAACTATCAAAACAAGGATGGGAGAACGATGGATCAAGTTTCAACTGCATATAGTATATTGATTCAAATATATTTATAAGAGAAGGTTAATTTATTTTTTCTTTAATTCCATTAATAAGAAAATAGTTATGAGGGAAATTTTTTTTATTAAAGGATGCAAGTAAGGCAACCTTGTCTTCCTTTTGTGTTTTCTAAAAGTAAATGTGGGTCTCCTTTCAAATAGAAAATAAGAACACATATAGAAGGATCATTCAAAAAATAAGTTGCCCATTGTCCACAGAATGAAAAAAAAACATAATCAAACACAGGGTTGCCATAGTAAAAAATGAACAAAAATAGTTGCTTTTAGTAGCCTCAAGCATGAAAATAGTTGCCTGAACAGGGACAAAAATTTATCAAAAATAGTAGCCAAATAACTTAAATTATAGCTTAATTGTTAAATACTATTATTAGGACTAGGTGATGTCAGAAATTTTAAATCGTGATACATCGTCAGTTAGACATCACAATATAGTGATGTATCGCAATTCAGCATATGCTCAAAAATTATCCATGGGAAATCTTTAAATCAATAAAAAATAAATAAAAAGGAACAAATCTAGTACAAAAGAAAATATTAATTCTAAACATATTCTACTATGCAGGGATGAGATTAGCCGAAAGGCAAAAAAGCTGAATTTCTACAATAGCAAATTTTACGCAAGCGCAACCCTTTAATAATAAATTCCAGACAGTTTAAGGTAATAAATAATGTGTTGACATACAATTGTGTACTAATCTATTATTATATAAATAATTACATAGATACTTAACATTTAGTGAAAATAGAAATTACCAATTAAAAAAATAAAGCTGGAAATTATATTTTTCCTCAGTTCACATAAGANTTTATTTGTTTAAAAATGATACTGACTATTGAACAAATTATAAAACAAACAAGTATTGAAAGAATTGTAATAAAAATTAAAAAAAAAATTCTTTAAGTACTAATGTTAAACTATTAAAAACGTCAAAACATTAATAAACTTTTTATTTAATTAAAAAAAAATTTTGTATTAACTATTAGCCAAATTTTTTTAAACCTTTGTTTTCACTTTCTCAAAAATAAAAGCAAATTAAATAAAAGTAAGCTTTGTTTAATTTTTTTATAATTAAAAAATACAGCATTTATTGATTGAAAAACAAATTATTATACTTAACTAAATTTTAATAAATTTAAAAAAACTAACTTTTTATAACAAAGTTAAATACAAAATACCCCTATTAAATTGTATTGCTTAAAATAAAAAGCAATAATTGAAAAAATCAATGATTTGTTCTATTGAGTTCAGAACGAAAATTTAAGAAAACAGCGATTGTGCAGCAATCGCAAAGTAACAGTAGGTCTACTAAAAATAATTGACAAGAATCGTTAAACCCCGACAGAAAAAAAAATGGTATGAAATAATGCAGGACGAAACGATCGCTGCAAAAGTCTCACTGAAAATTATTTACAAGAAACCCGACAATTATTTCCGACAAAATAAAATGCACAACGATCGCAAAATGACTTAAGTCCCATTGAAAATAATCTTCAAAAAACGCAAAATCCCAAAGACAAAAATGGACATAAAGAAACTATGCATTGCGTTCAATATTACAACGCTGATCCTCGCACGAAACCGGGAGTTCTGATTCAATTCGCTCTTCATCATTCAACATCACAAAACTAACATCTTAATAGCAAGACGCTATCTACATCTCTGCAGCTAGACGAAATCAAAATCGTCTTCGTTAGTGCGGTAACAGCGTTAGCCTTGTCAAGGATCCTAGCATATTAAATCGTTAAACCGCGATTGTAATCCAATTCCGGCGGCTTAAATCAGATTTCTAATGCACCGCCTAAAACGAAAGTCACTACATCGGCCTACTGATATATGCGTTAAATCGATATTTCGCGATACATCCATTTATCGCCCAGTCCTAACTATGCTCCAATTAAAAAAAAAATTTAACAAATATAAAAGGTATACACATTAGAAAATAGGTACCTAAATGAAAGTCGAATCAGAATAAAATATGAATGTTAATAGAAGAAAAAAACAATTAAAAATAACAAAACTGCCCCTCAGAGAGAACATATAACAAGTACTTTATTAAATCCAATGGAAATTTAAATTTTTGGCTCTGTGGTCATAAATGAGTGTATAAAAGTTAGCTTTCTTTTATTAACGTTCTGGAAAGTAACGTTCATTTTTGCGAAAAAACTTCGCCAAGAGTAAAAAAAGTCTCCTAATAGTCGCCTATTCCTGAAAGTAGTTGTTTTTTAGACTTTTCAGGCAAAAAAAAGTCGCCATAGTCGCCTAAGGCCGTAAATAGTAGCAAATAGTTGCATTTTAGTAGCCTGTGGCCACCCTGTAAACAGGAAGAATTATTGTAAGAGATACAGCAATATTTAATCTATTTTTCAACTACCAAAACAGCAACACTAATCCTTAAATATGTTTTTTTAGTTCAGTATAAAAAAGATCTGCTGTTCGGGAATGACGTTAGCTTTTCATTGCGGACTTTATCTGCGGGGAAGTGATGACAGGACAGTAATTTCCTTAGGAGCAAGAACAGATGAAAATCACGGGGAGAAAGATTGGGACTATAGAGTTGATGATCTAATATGTCATTTCTGAAATGCAGATGAGCATTGATGTGGAGCAACACAACACTTGCATTGAGCATACTACACCTGTGTTACTTTGACCTGTTTTTGCATGTGAAGAAATTCCTGTCTCTGCCTCAATTTTCTACAGACGAAGGTATCTGTACAATGCTGGATCCATTTCCAGGCAACAGGCGTCTACGATATAGGAATACAAAACCTTATCCTACGATAAGTTATAAATTTCTGGTGGTTCTCAAGTTGATAAATAGCTGAATATTAACATATTTTTGCAAAATCTTTCTAGGTAATTATGCTTTGTTTTTTTTTATGGGTGACGGGAAGCTAACTTTTTGAATGATCTTCATAAATGACCATGTTACACAACATAAGGATTTACCCACTGCCGACTATTATTGAAATGCAAAAGTAAACGGAGAAGGAAAACTTTTATTTGGCTGGTAAGCACAGTTCTGATGAAGGCATGTGAGCTTTTGCATGGCAATTCTGGAAATAAGGAAATTATTTCAAAAAATTAGTTCTGTACATATTTGGAAAGAGTGATTTTAATTTAAGGATTAATAAAATAATGATTTATCATTGCTTTGTACAGAAAAACAAATAGAATTTTTTTTCTTATTTGAACAATGGACATAAAACTATACTGAAAAAAAGATAGAACAGTTTGAAAATACCATTTTTAGAGACCCTTGTAGCTTGAACAATCAAAGAATCAACTGATCCTCCTCTCAGATCTGGACCTTCTTCACCCTGTAATATTTAGGCAAAATTGAAATGAAAGCAATAATTAAATATTGATATATATTTATATGTAGGATTACTGAAATAAAGTGATTTTTTTTTTTTTATATATGAATAAACAGATAGACTGTGAGCACTTGACTCCAACAACTACATGTTAGAACAATTTATGTACTTGAAATGGTATAGAATTAGGGGTATTCATCATTTTTTCATTCAGATTGTTGTCAAGGAGCAAAAAGTTAACATATGATGTTATATAATACTAATACTGTCATATGTTGAAGACATTTATAGGGAAATAATTGATCAACCCATGTAAACACCTTTCATTAAGCACTGGTACAGAGCATGGACGTCACTGTAGCGGAGGCTCAGGCGATAGAGTGCTCACCAACCAGTGACATGCTCCAGGTTCAAATCCCAGCTTTGGCTGGTCTATATGAATTCTTCTCCTGGTTTGCAATGACCCCAGAGCTGATATAAAATATCCTCAGATGTAGACAGATCATGGGTTAGAATTCCCATGAGATTGGACTAACTGTGGGAGGTTTTCCTCTTCATGTAACGTGGTTTAGTTCTATCAAATAGTCCTCCGTGAAGGCTAGTTTGTCTCAATGCTAGACCCAGGAGTTCCCTTGTCTTCTGGATTGGGTAAAAAATTACAAGGCCACAGAGAGAAATTGAAAATCGTAAAATCAGAATTAGGTTGGCCGTTCAACTCTTGGTTATAAGATACTAATACAAAACAGATAAGTAGAGTTATGAATTTATTTTGTAATGAGAAAATTTAGAGTCAGATTGTGCATTTTAGTCTGTGTATATTAATTTTGCCCCCCCCCCTCTAAAATTGAGCAATTGCCATGCCCGTGGACACAATAACTCCCATAAATGTTTTTATTTATTATTTTTTTTTTCAAATTTTAACAAAGGTATCATGTAATGGAAGAAATATTTATCATAGCTTACAATATTCATGATATACAAATAAAATCTAACTCTATCCCTTTTGTGGCAAATGGATGGTTGAAATGAAGACAAATAAATAAGAGCAAATATCATATTAGAGGCGTCTTACATCTGTTATTTGACTATTTTTTCACTGAAATTTGCACATAATTTTTTTTTAAATGTAGATTTTGTTTGTTTATTAAAAGTCAGTATGTATAAAAATGTTACATCATCTTGTTCAATAAATTTTGAATTATTTTAATACTTTAGAAATGTAATATCTTTTTTCTAACTATTCTTAATATCTTGATTCAAAAACTGTTTTTCACCTAAATAAATAACATTTAAATGATTTTTAATATGATATGATATGTGATTAATATAATAAATAAAATGATTTAAATCATTGATATCTTGATAAAAGAGCTTCTCATACTCTTTACTTAAAGTTGAAAAACTTCTACAGTAATTCACCCGGAACTCTTTTTTTTCTAATTAAACATTTCAAATAAGAATAATTTAAAACTTCCAATATTATATTTACAAGAATACTAAATTACATTTCTTTTCCAAATCAAATATTCAGACGGATCCAATTCATCTAATGCACCTTGAATATCAGAAGAAGATTCATTTTCAACAGGACTCAAGAGAGATTTTCCATAACTGAAACATTAGAAGTAAATTATACATATATATAAAAAAAAATACAATAAACTCTCAATAATCCATAGAATTGAGTAATTAGACAATAACTGAAAAAAAGAATTTTGTAGATACTCCTAAAGTGGTAGAAAAACATCTGTTTTAACCTATGTTAAATAGTGATAAAAGGAATTAGCATTTTTTAAACAATCTTTTGTCATTGTAAAAAATAACGTATTGACAAAAGTCTATAATAACAAGGGGCATCCAGTTAAAGTATTGTAGGCAGACTCTTAAGAAGACTGAGGCACAAACAAAATATCTTAGGACTAAGTTTGAAATTTTTGAAGCCTGATAAAATTTTTAAGAGCAATAAGGGGTAGCAGAATCTCTTGTCAACAAGTTATCATGTTACGGAATCTTACATAGTCAAAATTTCATGGAGCTCAATATGACATGATCAAAGCAGCCTTTTATGTTTAATAATATTAGTTGTCAAGAAAAACTTGTTTTTACGTTATTACTATTTTAAAATAGACAAATAAAAGTTTAATGCATAACTTCCGAGCCTTTAAATATATTTGCACACAAAATTCTAGCTAGATTGACGAGTGATGCTTGAAGTTCTTTCATTGTTAGTTTAATATTCATGTTTTTGGTTTGGGAAGAAAAATTCCATTTACATTTCAAAAATTATAATGCCAGCTTTGAAAATTTTTGTTAAAAAGTTTGCAAACATATTAAATAAGATAAATAAACTCTCTAAATACCAGTTTTAAATAACCTTGATCAGTGTTTTCATCTCAGAAAAAAAATGGGTGAGAATTTCTCACCCTTTCTCAAAAACAGGGTGAGACTTCAAAGATTAAAAAAAAAAGACACCAAGAGTCTTGAAAAAAAATCATTTCTTTAATTATAATGCATTTTTAACATCCTCTAATTTTTAAAGCATTGAATATTTTTACTGCATCATCATATGGAAAATGTTCTACATCTACTTTTTCATCAGCTATTCTCATTAGGTTGCTCAAATGCGTATTTGTTTGGTTTTGATCGTTTCTACCCACATTTGTTCGTTTAGAAGTAGAAGATATTGGCTTTACAAGGCATTTGTCCATCTTACATTAACGAGCAAAAAATTTGAACATCTTACATGAAGAAACCTTACCTACGGTAAACACATGGTTGCAGAGAAATGCCTTCTGAAAGAGGTTCCGTGGTTCGGAAGGATGGTGCTCTGTTGTTCTTAAAGGTTCTGAGCAATACTGGTAAATAGGGAAGCTAGATAATGGTACAGATGTTGAAAATAATAAAAGATCCAGGAAGAAAAGTGAAAAGAATTTTATTCTAAATGGCGCAAATGAGAAATTCTTTTCAAAATGCGAGAAATTTGCGAATTTTGAAATTGGTTTATAGAATGCGCGAATTTCTTGCGGTAATCATTTTTTAATGCGAGAATATAAAAAAATATGCGAGATTCTCCCACTGTAGTGAAAACACTGCTTGATGGATGATATTTTCAGTGCTAATTACAAATGATTGCTTGACAGTAGTATTCCTCACTTTTACATTAAAGAAAGAAAGCTGCCAAGATAGAAACACTCCAAAAAATTTTAACGCACTATGAAGTAAGCATAAATTGAGAGTATTATTTTTGGCACATTATCTAAGGATAATCTCCAAAATAAAGATATAATTTTAAAGATGCAAATGATGTAATGCAGTGCAGATTATAGACAGATTCAGATAAAGCAGTAAATATTTTTCCATGGGATTAAATGGGATTTTCTTACCAAGATAGTGCCAAAAATATGATATTTCAAAAATAATATTTATTATCATAGCAACAATAACAGTGAAAATACAGAAATTTCATAGAGAGGAAACAAGTTTGTTACATTGAATAATTTTTCTTTTGTTATTAATTGAAACTCAATCACATGACATAATACAGTCTTTTGTCCATCAAAACTACAGCAACACATCACATTTAATAAAAAAAATTAAAAAAGGAATGCTATTTTTTGAACGAACAATTTTGTATATTATACGCGATTTTTGAATAAGTTTTCAGATTCTGAATTTTCATCTTTTGTTTTAGAATGAACTATGATAATCATAAAAAAATATCCAGAACTGGTGCTTTTCAATCTCTTAACTTATCTATCCTTTCCTTATCTTTTTTTCCTTTATTCATTCATTTCGTTGAATCGATTTCAATCTTTTTCTGTTAGTACTTACAGCAGCTGCCTTGGTTGTTTCAAGCAGCTTATTCCATCTCGATCATGTGATACAAGTACTCTCCATCTATTTACCCTTACACTGGTCAGCTACTTTTCCACATTATCTACTCTATATGGTCTACCTTACTTCCCTTTTCCCTCAGACACATTGAAAGCTATTTTTTTTCATTGGGTTATGGCTTTCATGTCAATAGATATGACTGAAGCCAACTTTGAAAGTTGAAAGCAGCCACACCATGAACAGATGAACAGAAGAAAATGTTCAATTAATCTGAGAAGAGAGAATGGAGCATGCAACCCTTACAGAAAGCACAGGAAACAATTCACGTTTCCTCAATTGTATTTCATTAGGTTAAGGAATAAGTAAATTTGGTTCTTCAGCTATTTTAATCTAATGTAAATTAGGTAAGTATTTCTCCATTTAATTTCAGTGAAAAAAGATGTGTGACTAGAGTGAAATGAGAGATAATGACTAAAGTAATGAGAGATTTTGGACAAAATCAACTCATTTCAAAAAAAGAGAAATAAAAAAAATAAGGAATACATTTAAAATTTAAAAAAAAACACTTAAAAATGATTAATGATATAAAATTTATCAAAAAACTCTGTATAGGAAAAAAATATTAATAAAAGTTTAGCTACTCAAGTCCTTAGCAAAATTTAAAATTTTCATTCATAAAAATCGGTTGGACACAAAATATAATTTGGAGTAAGAGGGAGGAAAATGGACATTAGCAGAATTCGGTAATACAATTTTATTTAGTATTTCTGTATGCTAAGTAAATAATGTGTGATATGACAGTATAAAACTGTTGTTCTATGTTTTACAGCTTCACAATACAGAAAATTAAGTAACATTATATTACCAAATTATTCTACTATCGTTTAAATCTTCCTCTTGCTTATTTCAAAAATTAAAATAAGGATAATAAAAAACACAAAAATCTAATATTATATAACATCAAAACCAATGTTAAATAATATTAGGGCAAATGCTAGATAATATTATTTTGCATAGAACCCAATGTTAAATAATGCAGAGAAAACAATGACTTTTTATAACTTTCTAATAATCAACAGTTGTACAAAATAATGTTAGATTTTCTGATGTTACCTAACATTATGTGCTACTTGGATATGTAGAAAGTCTTAAAAATCACTTTTCAATACAAAAACATTTGTAAACAGGGAAGACTGAGAGGGATGGGACATTTTTTAAAAAATAAATTTTATTTTCACTGGTAAAAATAAATTTTATTTTCACTGTTGTTAGTCTCAGAATTATACCTTAAAAAAATCTTAACATACTTAAAAATCAAAATTTTATGGTAAATATTATAACATCATCTCTATAAATGAGCTAAAATCGAAAAAAAACCCAGTGTTTTTCAACATTTCCAAACAAACATTACAACAAACATTTTCGTGAAACATTAATCTAAAATTTTATGCAAATCTTTATTCAGAAGAAGATACAACTTAAAGGTTCAGCCTAACTGGTGATTCTCAAAAGTTATTTAATTGGGTTTTGAAAACAATAAAAGTAATTATTTTTGTGACATTGAGCACTATTGAAAACTTGCATACAAAATATTGGTAGGTGTTATAAAATAGCTACTTTCTGATAAAAATTCATAGGTAAAGGGCCAATCAAATATTATGTGAGCACTTAAGTGCGGTTGTGATTTGCTTAATTTTGCTGACAAGGGGAGAAGTATAAGCATAGCATATTGCAAGACACTAAAATTATCCCTTTTTATTTTTTAAATTGGAAAAAAGTACCCAAAAAATTTTAAAATTATACTTGGAAAGATGTTAAACATTACAAAAAATTTAAATTTGAGGTAAGAAAAAGGATTTCATCACGGAATTTCAGAGGTCAACAGTTCAAGGAAATCCTAAAGATTAGAAAAATTTTTAGTAAATGAACTTCTGTGCATAATTAAATATGCTGAAGGCATGAAAGATGCTGAATGAATAGATGATGACGAAGTGCCCTATGATTCATACCGAGTAAAAGAAAATAAGAAAGAAACAATGTCATAAAAGATATGCAGAAATGGCTGCAATAACCTTGAACACCATATGATTAGATGCTTAAGTGTTAAAATTTATTATTTCATGCTTCAATTGTTCTTGTAGCAAGACTTTCTTATGCACTTGAAGTGTGTTAAATTGACATTTCAACTCAAAATTTTATAAACTGAATTACAACATAAATTTTGATTTATGCAAAGTAAAATCTTTTATTTCAAATTAAAGGTAAAATACTTATTAGACTACAACAGTAAAAGACAAAGCAAATTACAAAAGGTGATAAAAAATTTTTAAATAAGCATGAGAAGAAGGTTTGAGATTTGGTTATTTTGTTGGTAAGGGGGAGGTCCGAAATTGACTAAAGCAAGCTAACATAATATTTAAAAAGTGCCCCAACTAGGGAAAGACTCAGAAACTAAAAACAAAATTGTGTGTATCCCATCTTTTTCTTATTTTTTGTCTTAAATAAGGTTTTCAATAATATATCACAAGATCAATTTTAAAGTTGGCCTTATTTTTCTTCAAAGACCCAGAAAAACAAACTAAGAAACATTACTCGCGTTGAATAATTATTTAAAAATAAACTAAATATTCTTAGAACAAAACCGTATTTTCACATATCTAAATATTTCCTACATTATCTTTCATAAATGTGAATTAAAAATTATTTTTATACATACCTAGATGTATCATAGCTTGAAGGTGAAATATTATCACTATTTTGATTATCTGAGAAAGATCCAGGGAAAGGGGTCACATATTCATCATGTTTGGAATGGTTACTATGTCTGAGAGTACCCTGCAATTAACAATTTCATAACTTTTAATACAGATTTTAAATCATGCATAGATACAAACAGAAAAATTTACATGTATTAAAAACTAAAATAATTATTCCAAAATAAAGAAAAGCATATTAAAAATATGGAAATGCTTTAGAAAAAAAGTAAAATAATTACTATATTAATTTATTAAAAAGCAATGTAATTAAAATTTGAAATATTTCAAATTTAGGCTGTCTTAATATTTATGCAAAATAAAAAATAATATCAGTCGAATAATAAAGAATTAAAAATTTGAAAACTAATTTATAAAGATTTAATGATAGTTGTGTACAAAAAGAAAGGAAGTTGGAATGATGAAGTGACATGATAACATAATTTAAAACTAAGAACTAAAACAATTCCTCATCATTTAATCCCCTTCTAAGAAAAGCTTCAAGTCCTTGCGAAAATAGATTGAAACAGCAATTAGACAGCAATGTGATATATTTTTGACATAACTTGTATAGATAAAAATTTCTCAACTAGAACACCAATTTACAATGAAAATTCATTGCCTGAAATTAGATGATTCTTTGCATTATTTTCATGCCATTATATGACACGCCCTGATTTTTTAAAAACTTTCAAATTATGAAAAGCGATAAAAATTTATTATAATTTCTTAAAAGAAAAGTGAATGAATAACTTGCTTAATAATTAAAATGCACAGAATTGTAAATGTATATTATAAAATGTTTTTTCCTTAAAGTATTTAAAATATTTTAATTTTACATTTTTCAACTTATTTATTATTTTTTCAATAAACAAGTATTTTTTAACATTTAAATTATATATCAGCCAATCATTTGTTATTTATCATCTTGATGATTTCTTGTACAGAAATTATATTCTAGCATAGAAAAACGTTAAGTGAATTCGTCTATTTGGCCTCTTTTTCACAAATTATCTTTAGTTAGTGTTTCCAATTTAATTTTATTTTTAACTAGAACAAATCTAGTTTAATTTTTAACTACATTTGCCAAATCCCCTATTTTTGGATGCAGTAAGATTTAGCACTAAGGAGAAAAGTTATGTCTTTTAAACTCAAAAAGTATCCTTTTGAATAACATAAAAAGAAATTTGTTTCATTTTAAATTAAAAATGTCAGGAATATTAATAAACATTGCAGTGCACTTGTCTGTAACTGCAGAAATCATACACATATACCTTAACAAATAGCCATACATCAGCTGGTAACTAAAGCAATAGTGTAGGAAGGGTTTTTCCTTAGTTTAGTTTAGTTCAGTTTTAATTTTCAGTTTAAAAGTTTTCTTTCATTGAAACTGATGACTTTAAATGCAATATTTTTTTATTTATGAAGTTTATATTTGACTTTCACTTCATTATCTAGTAACATTACTTGTTGAAGCGCTTAAGAAACAATAAGTCAAGTAAAAATATTTTGATAGGGACTTTCTCAAGAACTTGCCAAATCTTAGGGAAATCTAAAAATACATAAAAACAAGTGCAATTCATTGTTGAACCAGAAAAAACAGAAAAAATACAGTAAAATCGACAACTATGGAAGCATGAAAACATTAAAGACTGAAAAACATAAAAATAACAAGTGAGATATTATGAAGAAATGATGGAAGTTAAAAATTTCTGACATTTATTTGACATAGGTCAAATTCTTAGTTGAGTAAAATAGTTATTGATGCATGGAATTGAGTTTAAATCATTAAAGAGCTTGTACTACATTTTCTTAAAAAATGTTCAATAAGTTTAGCGGTATATATTTTTAAAAAAATGATTTTTTTTTCATTTAATATATCAGCAATTCTGTATATTAAAATAGGTAGCAGTTACTTAAAACTATCATTACATAAGTAGCACTCTTTTCATTTTTCCAAAAAATAATGAAAGTTATCCTATAATTTTTTATATTTATTTTTGAACTTGTTTTGGTATGTAGAAATGCAATGTCTACAAGCGTTTTTAGAATATATTAAAATTGATTTAAATAAGAAAGAAAGGATATATTAACACTTATCATTATTTCTTATTACAAAAATTCACATTTTGTATTACATTACATCTTATAAGGAAAAATTTTATTATATCTTATTAAATAAGATAAAATATTTTTTATTACAAAATAAAGCCTATTTTTAATTTTGAAGTCATTCCAGTTAAATTTGATGTGATTTTGATGTTTCAAATAACATAAAAGTTTTAATGTATTAGCTTGAAATTAAGAAATATTTTTAACTGTGGTGTCGAAATTTGTGTTTTAAAAACCAATGCACACATAGCAGCTAAATTTCATTACTCCTAAAATCAAAGAGCAAGCTCAAAGTTTGCATTAAAATATTATTAATCCAAAATGGTTGTTTTACCATAAATATTTTAAAAGAAATACCTTGTTTTTCTTAGGAGGGATAGATGGAGGATTATGATTTGACAAGGCATCTTTTTCACAACTTATGCTTGAAGAAGAATTAAAAGATTCAAAAAGTGAAGACTCTTCATTACTTGAAATAAAATTGCTACTAAATGATGCTTGTTGCATTAACGAAAGTTCAATTTGTTGCCAATTTGTTTGAACAACTTTAAGAGTATGAACTGAATGACGTAAAAATTCAGACTCAGAAGGTTGAGAATAGCTACCAAACATCTGCATGTATGCTCGAACTGAAAACAAAATTTAATGTATTAAGATACATATAGAAAAACAAGTTTTCAAACAGGGACATAAAATTTCATTTTATTTACTTTTCTCTTCATTTTATATAAATATTTTAAAAATGGTAATAGATGAGCTTTTCTAATAGAGTATCACAAAAGAATTCAATAACATTTGTGATAGTTACATTTCTAATTATTTAAAATTTATGCATAGGAATAGTATAGTCTTCTTAATAAATCTGAAAATTTGTGTAAAATTTAAATAAAAATAAATTGAATACAATTATTGTAAATATACTTGATTTAAGGTCCTTATTGCTAGCACTGGCGTTGTTTTGATAAATACATACCTGAATACTATAAAATAACCTGAAAAATCATATTTATTTAATTACTAGGCGAGTAAACCCACAGTTTGTGCCAGTCAATAACCCCGGTGATTGCTTTGCAATAACTATGATTTCACAGCATAAAACAGTTTTTCTACGAAAGTTGAAACTATTCACTTTAAATGTATGTGCTAAAAAGAATTTTTGTTTGCTTACGCTTGTGTCGCCCTTTCCACATTCAAACATTTCCCTGATGATTCTATTATGATCTATAAGTGAATATAAATAATTTTGCAAAGCAATCATTTTTCATAATAAAATTTAAAATGGATACATTGTTATAACAACTGAGGTGAGTACACAATAGTAATTCAATTTTTTCACTTAACAAATAGACTGATACAAACTATACTAAATACAGTACACATACGCATGCAGACTTATGTATCAATTACCTAGGTACCTCTTATAAGCCTTTCAAAACGCCTTTGTTAAGTAGAACAGATTGCACAATTCGGATAAAGAAATACCTTGTAAATAATAAAATAATAACAAAGATACATCCTAAAATACAGCATGAATTAAACCCACTACCTCCACTCTACAGAGCCTTTAATGGGTCATATCGTTCAGCCATGAAGGCCCCTTAAGCATAAACTGTTCATTAAGTTAAATCATTCAAAAAATCTCTTTAACTGTAATTTATAATAGTATATTACTGGAATTTGCATAAAAAAATAATAACTTTATAGCATTTAATAAGTTAAGACACAGTTTTAAATTAGTCTATCTTAAAATGTAGAGTAATTAGTTAATATCATAGAATTACGTTATAACAAAAAAAAACAACTGCTTTAGTTTTAAACTCTTTATTTAGAAAACAATCAAATTCAAAAACTTAATAATAGCAGAGTAGAAAAAATATTACAGGTAAATACCTTAAAATTAAGGATACAAAAATATTTTATATCCCTAATTATAGGAAAGCGATACCTTTATGACTTTTAATAATCTTATGCTGATGACAACCAAAACCATAAAGAAATTAATGTGTGAAAACTGGATCCCACAATGTAATTTCCCGGCCTATAAAAATGCACAGGAAACAATGGAAAACTGTGTTATACTATATGTTTTTATGTATATGGAGAATTATCATTTTCATAAATTCCAAATTTTCAAGTTTTAAAATATGTTAAAGCCCAGTGCATAAGTCAACTTTTCAAACCCCCAAAATATTATGAAAATTAGGGGGTCAACTTATACACAAGTAACATAGTTGGACATTTGTTGATTGTGAAATGGGTCAATATATGCCTTTCAAATCTCATATATTCTTTTTAATATCTTATGTATAATTAATTTTGCATTTTCTATCATCATATTTTCTTTACAAATAAAGGTTTTTTTAGAAACAATACTTGAAATTGAGCTCAGAAAAAATTAAGAATAAGAAAAGTTAAGCAATTTATTGAAGCGTTTCAATAGAAAATTCAATAGAGAGATTGAATAGAAAGAGAAAATTCTGTAGACTTAATTTTGTTTATACTTCTTAATTTTTGAATTTTTTTTATTTGATTTTTTCAGCGATAGACTTCTACTAACACTGGAATATACGGTAAGTGTGCATTTTTAAAATTCAAAAAAATTAATTTAATATACGTTTACAGTTTTTATTTTCTGTTTAAAAAATACTGTGAAATTATGAATTTGGATACAGTATTTTTTAAAAAAATATGGAAGTTTTAATAAAGAAAAGTTAATACTTCCTCACATTTTTTGTATAAACTTAATTTTTCACTTTCTTATTTTGCACGTAAAACTGAAACTGGTGTTTATCTAACAATTTGACACCATCTTAACTATTGCCAATTCACAACTTTCTTAAATTAAGTTGTAACTGTCTAAATGAAATTATTACTCCCCCATTTCCTTATCTTTAGCAAAAATAAATACAGATTATGTAAAGTTAAGGGGACAGGCAGCAAGAAGTGTAATGTGCATAGTGTTTTGCTGTAGAAAATGACATTCAAACTGACAGTTTCAGTACTTATAGAATTTTAGGAAGGTTGAATTAAGGTGTTTTAAAAAAATCATTACAATTAATAATTAAGTTCAGACTTGAATAATTTTAAGGAAACTAAAATGCTTCAGAAAACATTTCACCAGTTTGCCCACCCCTGACTTAATCAGAAAAAGTACCTTTTTGTATTTCATTTCATAACCTAATCAAAAGTTAGCACTAATTAATTAGCATAGTTGACATCAATCATTTGACAATGTAAAGTAATAATTTAGTATGTAAAAATTTGATCACTAGAACAAAGGGGTGATATCTTTTATTTTTAATTAAATGTATATTCCATTCCCCTCTTAAAATAACTGATAAATTGTGTTCATGTGTGATAAATTGGTAAATATAAGTGTGTCACATGAAATTGGGGGTAAAATGGTTTGTAGAATTGGGTCACACAATAAACTGATGGTAAGACTCGGTTCCCAGTGAGATCACTGAAGTCAAGTACCACTGTCTGCGGTCAGTCAGCGAGTGTGTGCCCACTTTGATCAGTCTGTGAAGAGACCAAGAGTGCACGGTATTAGACTTTGTTAAAGTGTTCAACCATAAAGTGCCCAACCATGAGCACAGGTTGTTGGGCTACCAAATTGGGCAAGTCATACCCTTTGCAGAGGTTCAAAATTATGATGACATATCGTCGGATTATCATCAGGGGTGTTTCCTGAACCATCACCAACAGCCCATTGTGCAGCTAGAGTGTAACATAAATAAAGTGCTACTACAACAGAAAACAGTTCATCAAAATAAAAATAATTAGCTTTAAAATATTTAAATATGACTGATCAAGGTTATTAACTATGCACAAACTTTACTAGCTGCACAAATTTTAAAATCTTTGATGTATCAATAAAATAAAATAATAAAGAAAACAAAAATAACAATAAGACTAATTCAATTTCAAAATAAAATTTTAAAACTGAAAGTCACAAGTTATTAAAAAAAATATTTAAAATAATAAACTAGTTTATGAAAAAATTACTTCTTCACTTAAACATTTACTATCTCTTGATATGGCTGATCAGATTCAAAAATTATTTTACAAAATGAAGTCTCAAAAATATTTTGGAAAAAGTAGTTAGTAAAAAATTAATCTTAAATAAATTAGTTTTCAAATCTTTCTTCTTTAGGAAAATTAATTTGAAACATCCAATTTTAGTAGATTTGAATATAAATTGTGTTTTAAATTAAAGGGAAACATAATAGAAAATATTAGAACAAATATATTAAATTTATATGCTTAGCCTAGCAATTAATAAAGTTAATGGAATTTAAAAGAAAAGTTTTCTTTTATTCATATAAAAAAGTAAAAATGTTTTAAAATGCAATTATAATACTTAATTCAGTCCTTCCATGCAAACCTTTCAGTTACAAAAATTTGCAACAACTGATTATCGTGAAATCTTTGAAATTTAACATGCATACTTGTTTTTTCCTTGGGAGGAAGAGGGGGTGGCTTTCCATTTTCTCTGTCTTTGGAACCAAAATTATGATGAGGACATAAAGACATATGATTGCCTTCAGACCAGGTATGAGGGTGGTTACAGATTAATGAGCACTGTGGATTGAAACCATCTGGTTCTTTCTATTAAGAAAAACAAATAAATAAAATATTATTTCGTTTAGTACCTATTTTAAAAAAAAAAACTTAACATCAAGTTCATTTTTTTTTAAGCTATCAAATGTTTAACACTAGAAGTGAATTATAGTATTTGAATTATAGTGACTTAAGTATTTTAGAAACTTATCTAATTTTTTGCTCATAAATTTATTTTCATGTTGAATATAATGTGTATTTACATGCTTGTCATGCTCCATTAATGCTTTTACCCTAATAGATGAATAAACATGCATAAGTATCATTTCTTATACTCTTATGCTACATAAATGCTTTTCTATAAAATATCAATATAGATTTTTCATCTCCTTGTTTATTAAAGAAAACATAATATATTGTTGTTGATGAAATGTTTGATATGAAAATACAAATATTGTAAACTTTTAAAAATTTTAGAACTGCTTAAGAAAAGCATTAGAATGAACAATATTTGGAATAAACAGAATTAAGTACAAATATAACAGTAATTTAACAGAATTATAACAAAGCATACAATATGTAAAGTTATGCCGTGATTTAAATTTTAAACCTATATAGTATGCAAGCATAAAACATTTTTTTTTTTCTGAGCAAAATTCTTTTCTATTTTTATTTAAAAATCTAAAAAAGATGCAAGTTCATTTATATACTTCAGCATTTTGACTGCAGAAAAAACTGTACAGATTTTAGTTCGTTATTTGCCACTTTATCCCAGAATAATATGGGAGAAATTGATGCTTTGTTGAAAGAAACCACAAGTTTAAAAAAGGGAAAAAAATCAGGACTAACAAACAAGTGTTAAAAAGATAATTAGATTAAAACCTTTTTTTAAGGTTTTATAACTTTATTTAGTAAACAAAACATTTGAAACATAAAGAAAATATTCCAACAAATTATGAATATAAAATGAAATGAAATTTTAAAAACTACTTACATCAATATCCGAGACAAAAACTTGCGGCATATTGTCATACTGTGAAAGATTCCGTAATTTACGTAGCTTAATTGGTAAAGCTGGAGGATCAGTCTCTGTAGTTGAAGAAGTTTGATAACTTATTCTACTAGTAGAAACACTGAATTCATTGACTGAGTTCACAATTTCATGAGAACTACCAGAAATATCATTTGAATGCAAGGATACGGAAGTAGTTGCAGTCGTCATTGATGAAGCAAATGATGAAAGTTCAGCATTATAAGTTTGAGATGTTAAACTAGACATACATTGTTGTTGATGAGTTTCAGAACACTTTGTATATTTATGCTTAGAATAAGATAAATCATCAATCGAATAATTTAAATTTAAATTAGAGTCCAAGCTTGATGCTGATGATTTACTAATAGGAGTTAAGTTATCTGGAGACTGACTAAAGGGCCAATCAATAGTACATAATGAATTGAAATCAGTGTTTATAGAGCCAAAACTACCAGTCAATTGTTCAGTGTCTGGTTTTGTTAATTCTAGATTATTTGTGTTCAGCTTTTTCTTTGGAGGTAGAGGTGGGGCAGATTCACAACTAGTGCAATCAGGATTACTAAAAAAGAAATGCATACTTAAGGATACTTTATACTTAAAATTATGACTTTTTCTCTAAATGCGCAACTGTCAAAATTATTTAGCAGAGTTTATCAAATAATAGAATTTTCATGCATATTATTGATAAAAATATAGAATATTCCATACATAAAAATTTAAGGTATATTTAAAGTAATAAAATACAATGTATGTGTATGTATATGTAATAACAGGGCTACATCCCTGTTATCATTAGTTACAATTAGCTTAATTAATTCAGTCGTGAATCAATCATTCCTTCATTAGTTTTGTTTACGGGTAGGCTGGTGGCTATAACATTTCACATCCACTCTCTGCAAGGTAGGGGTGGACAAAACTCCAGATGGTTCCAGCACATCTTACATGGATCACATCATACAGCAAGAGTCATGCAAAAACAATCGCTCCTGCACTAAGTACTAACAGATGAGGTGAAAAGGCTTAATCGTGGAATAGGTACTTCGTAACCCTATGAATTAAGGAAAATCATTTAATGCTTCCTAATATGGAAGTGAAAGAGGGAAAGATTCTAAAAATAACTCCTGTGAAATATAAATCTAATTGTAATTCAATGGAATGTTTTCAGCCTTGAGTCCCAAAATAGAATATCTCTACACCTATTCTTTACCAAAGACATTTTATGAAAAGAGTTTTAATGCTTTTATTAATACAAAAATATTTATAATAAGTGTATTACATCCCCCCCCCAAAAAAAAATTTTGGTAAGCCAAAATAAAAAATTTAGAATACTTTAAATTTTTAAAATTTAGGTTGGTACAACTGTTCCTTTTCCCTACTACAAATAACAATTTTTCAATTATGTGTAAAAAAAAAAAACAATTATTTACAATGACAAAAATGAAAACATGATAATGTAATTTATCTGTTTAGTCAACTAAACAGAAAGAAAAATGAAACATATTTATATAACTATTCTACTAAAATTTTCAAAAAATTTTTTCGCACAAAAATATACACATTTTTTATGTGAACGAACTGGACAACAAGTGTCATTTAATCAGAATTTAAGATTCTGTGCGGTTAAAGGGGTTATTTACTTGATGAAAATCTGTATTCCCCATTAAAATGGAGGAAAACAGAATTTCATGAAGCACAGTGATATTGAGAGATCCAGACTGGTCAATACAAAAAAAGTTTATAAAATTTTTTTCACCTTATTGAGAGAGAAAAAAAAGTTCAACTTTCCTCACCCTCACATCCAAATGATGCTGAGGTAAACATCTCAACACGCGATTCAGATCTCTCAAAAATATCAGGCTTACTTCTTCCATTGAAGAAAGTTAAAAAAAATTCTTTTCATTTGGACACTATTCATGATTTAATGGTGGGCTGCGACAATTGTGGGCTGCGATATTTCCTAAGCTTTGATACATGTACTATTTCAAAATTTTGTTTACTTAAATTATTTTATAATTAGCTTCTGAAATTTTTTGAAGAATTTTATATGGTCCACTAAAAGGAGGTGACAACTTCCTCGTATTAGGATAAGTAAATTCCTCAAACATAACTAATTCACCAGTTTTAAAATCTATGTCTAAAAATCTAGCATCATAATAAATTTTATTTCTTTCATGATATTCTTTAGTTCCTTGAATTGCTATCTTTTTAGCTTCCTCAACAGGTGGATAGATTTCTTCCTTTAAGGGATTTTCATAGGGGAGCCAACCATGCATGAGATATGCAGGTGGAAACTTTGTTACAGAATGGGGGAGTTAAGTTATGAGTATTAACTATAGCTTTTAACAAAGTTGACCAGGGAGTTTTAGTAGGTTCTTCATTAATTTTACATTTTAAACGCGTTATTATTCTTTGACCAAGGTGTTCAACCTTGCCATTAGACTGCGGATGACGTGCAGTTGTCAATAATTGTTGAATTTTATTTTGTTTCAAAATTTTTTTTTAAAATGAGATGAAGTAAAAGCAGTGTTTTGATCAATGGTATGTTTTCAGCCTTGAGTCCCAAAATAGAATATCTCTACACCTATTCTTTACCAAAGACATTTTATGAAAAGAGTTTTAATGCTTTTATTAATACAAAAGTATTTATAATTTTTGTATTACATATACAAAAATTATTCACTCACAATACAAAAAAGCATCAAGTATACATTGTTCCATAGAATTAATTAGCTTTTAGGAGAAAGAATACCATGATTTCTCAATAGATTCTTGGAGTTCTTTTGCAGTGCTACACTGTTTACGATTTCTATATAATTAGCAGTTTAAAATTCCCTAAATGTACTCAATTGGATTTAGGTCTTAACTCAGAGCAGGCCAATCTATCTAGCACCTGAATATTTTATTGAAAAAAATTAATTTTTGTTGAATGTAAAGAGGCTTTTTTTTTTTTTTTTGAAATGTACAATCAGTTCTTCCTAGAAGGTCTTGAAACGAGAGATTAGATGTTTCTTCAGTGTATCTTGATACATTTCAGATGTTTAGTCTTCCCATAAGGAGATGCAGGTATGTCGTACCATAAGGGTCGGCGAAAGTAGCTGGCAAGGTGAACGCCTTGGTAAGCGCCGAATGAGACACAGATTTAAAGCTCTGTAAATTATTTATTTCCTCCTTCTTTAAAGCATTGTTTGCTTTAAAAATATATTTACAGGTTGCTTTTTATTAAATATGTATTCTTAGGTTAATAGCTTAATTAAAGATGAAAAGAGTGTGCAGCAGAAAAACCACTCGTTCAACATTGAAAAGAATGAGTTCCATATTTTACATGGAGGATCTTTTCTGTAGAGTTTTTTGGTTTAGAAAACCATGCAACAAACAAGGGAATATTCTCAAAAGGTGAATGCAAGAGAAAAACAGGGGGAAGAGTGACCTTGGANTCGCGCACCCCCCAGTTCTTCGCAGAAGGGAATGAAAAGTTGCCAAAACGTTGGCAGACTATTGTTGATTTGAATGGAGATAACTATTCTCATTAGCTTTGCTGATTTTGTATGTGTTTGTCATTTTTCAGGATTTTTTTTTTTGGCGGAAAACTTTTTACTCAACCCGATATAATGTGAATTTGCTGATACAAATTTCAATATTTTATGTAAAAAATATTTCTATTTTGTCTCAAAGTGTTATTTCAATTTAAGCTTTTCATTTAAATCTCAGCAGATTTTTTGAGTAATAGGGACTATTTAGAAACAGGGGCAAAAATTCAATTTCCACGATTCCTTCAAATCAACATATATAATCAATCAAGATAATTACCAAGATCTTAGTAAATGTTAAGTTAGCAACAAGAAACATACACTTTTAAAATATCTTACAAATTTTGTTCTTTGACATATATTTAAAATAATTATAAAAAGTCTTTTCTGGGGAACTGAAGTAAGACTTTTTATCTCTAAGAATATTTGCTTATAGCAAGCTCGATAAGTTCTTTATTCATCTGATTTATCTAAGCGATTATTATTGTATTTAGCGCTGTACATTGGTTTTGATTTAATTTTACATATGGTTTTATATACCATTATAAGTCTGAGTAGAGAATATTAAATCTTTCCCAAAAGTTATTTGATAGGAATAATAATTTAAGAATACTATGATGACAGTCCGTTTTTTTAATGTGTTTTAAATGAGGTCATTTTTAAATTATTTCAAACGGTCATTTTCAAGATTGTATATTTCAGATGCAATTAATTACAAGAGCGCTCGTCGCTTTGTTATGAAAACTGTCATCATGAACAATTTTAGGTACAGCGAATGAATAAAGTGAGAATGAGGAATGAAAGGATATCAATCAATGGATTGGTGAATAGTGAATTAATTGGAGTCAGTAATAATTAGCAGTGATTTTGTTTATGAGGTATTCATTGAAGGACATTTTAGAGAATAATTGAATGAAGAAATTAGTTTACAAATGCATAAAAATATTTATAAACTTATAAATTGATTTATCACAGTCAGCAACAAACATTTTTCAATTTCAAAATTGATTTTAACAAAATGACAACATATTGAATGCAAATTACAACAATTATGTGTATTGAAAATAAAAAACCTGCAAAAACAACTGGTTTTAAAGAGTCAATTAAACTGCTTGAGACTGATAAAGCATGAGAAAAATAGATTTTAATGTTTACATTTGTATGTCACAAAAGATTATACTCATTAAAAATATTTCCTATAATAAATATTCATTCTAGAATAATTTAGGTGATATTTTCATTAAATAAACTAACGGTTTTCTTTTTTAACCTTGAATGCATTGATTGTAATTTATCTAGTTCACATGCTTAGCAAATCAATATTTAGGATTGACATAGGTTTTATAATTCTCTAATAGAAATATTGTAATTGAAAATAAAAAAAAGCATTTCTCTATAGCGTTATGACTACACCAGCATGACAATTTAAAGATTTTTGTTTGTTTCCCTTAAAAAAAAAAGAGATTACTTTTCCAAAATTGAGTTAAGGGTGTCGTTTCCAGTTTTGCCGACAATGTCTTCTGCTGACACTTTTGTCCATCAAATCCAAATGTTTACCAAACCATTACAGATTTGTCTCCCAGCTGCCTGCTGAAAAAATTCACCGGATCTTTTCTATTTTTTTTTCATGACTGAATGGTACAAATAACCATTCTGCAGCTTTCATTATTTGATTGTCGGAACTCTTGATTAGAAATAATATGTCTGCCTTTATGCTTTACAGAAAATACCTCACTTCATCCAACCAATCCTGCATTTACTAAGAAACTGTTAAAGTACTTAAACTTTAAAGACAATCATTTTAATCAAAATTTCTAAAAATCACAATATTAAATAATAAAATCAGTTTTAATTAACAAACATTTCTTGATAACATTTTATTTCAGTTATAATTTAAGAATTTTCCTGCTATTGTGTCACATAATTTTTAGTTGTATAGTATCAGGAAATTTTGCTGTGTACTTAAATGTGTTAGACAGACTGCATAATTGGCACAGCAATAATGATTTTTTATATCGTGTTTCATTTTAAAGTCCACATTGAAAAAACTGCTCTAACAATAAATACCTTCGCTTTTACTCAAAGTTTGACAAGTTACTTTTTAGTTAATCCATTTTGAAGTGATTTTTTAAAAAAATTAATACATAAATAAACTCATAAAACAGTAGTACAACATATTTCAATAATATATATGTTATTTCCTAGTTAGTTGATACTTAGAGGATCCATTCTAAAGATTTTTTTTAATTAATATACGAATAAAATCCGAAAGACAGTAATAAAATGCATTTTAATAAAGTTACTGTAACATTATTTACAAAACAAGCACCAGCATGTTTGATAAATCATCAATCCTAGTCTGGCATTACTACAGTCTACTTAAAACTTTTATAATTATCAATACATTTTATAATAAAATTTTTTTTATATCTATAAATAATCATCATGTGTAGAAAATTGTTCTAAAAACATAATTTTTTGTTCTAAAAACAGTGGAAATCTGGTTGTATGTTATTTGCCTCATATGTTATCCTGTTTCCTACATTATATTCTACTGGTCCGTAAAAATTGGCTTATACCGATAGTGCTAAATTATTCTGAATTTTACAATACTCTTTTTAAGAAATTCCCGCTTTATATATTTTTTCTTGCAGATCAACAAAGCTCACACGAACTACTTTAGAGTTCTTTCTTTTTTCAAAAACTTCATTATTAGCTGTTTGAAGCAGTTTTGACATTCTTTCTATCTTATCTTACTGTCTGCTACTTGGGTCAAAATCAGAAGGGTAATGAGAAGGCCAAAGCACAGTAAGCATGGTTCAAGTATGTATGGAAGCTCAAATTATAAATTTCGCATGTGGAATTTTTACCAATACTAATTAAAATTTTTAATCAATCTGAATACAGTCAGAACCATATTTTATAAGGAAATAAGGAAATAGAAAATGCATTTCAAATCAGCCTTTCTCATAAGGCTTTACCACATTCAGAACAATTTTCTTGCTACTAATTATATGCGGAAATACCTTTAATAAATTTAGAAGACTGACTGTGTACAGTGTGAAGAAGAAAAAAAATAACCACGCTGAATAACTTTTGGTCTAATGATTGTATTTTCATTTAATAGGATTCAATTTTAATGGTTGGAGGGGGTGACCTCAAACATACTAATTAATTAGTGCAAACAATAATTTAAGTTACAAAATCTAACATAAAAATGTACTTTCTCTGAATAAACATATTTTTTCAACAAATTCAGATTTCTGACCCTAATCCTAGCCATAATTTGGGAAAAATGGCCCTAATAGTTTGGTCAGGAGAGCTGATCGCAGTTTGGGCCCCTTAACGTCAATTTGACTCTTTGCACATTTAACTATATCTTGAGAATTTTTTAAGAGAATAGAAAACATTTTGCACATACAATAAAATTCTTTTATCTGAAGGCAATTTTATGCAAAAATAATTTTTTATAATAATTTATTATTATTATTTTATTAAACATTAGTAAAAAAAATTTTGAGCTGTAAAGTATACAAATTTTTAAATTAATTTAAATAACGTAATTTTACAAGGCAAGATACTGAATAAAATCTATCAAATAGCTCTTGGGAAATCGAATTCTAAACATAAGACTTCTTAATTAAAATAACTTCTTCAAAAAATTTGCTTTGATTGAAACAAAAATTGTTTTTGTGTCAGAAAACATATGTACTAATTAATTAACATATTTGACGTAAGCTCCTTGAACCCTGAAGAATAAGTTTTAGTACATGAAGATCCAATCATTAAATTAAAAGTAATTAAGGGTGATTTTTTATTTTTTTGGCACATTGTACATGTTTATATTTTCATTATATCAGAAATTATTTCGTTCTTCCAAAAAGTATCCTTTTTGCTACATCTCAAGAAGTAAAACAAAATTGTTTGTTAAAAGAATACGCTCTATTACATTGATAACTTTTTATAAAATAAAAGACTTTTAAACTTTTATCAAATAAAAGGCTTTTTCAAAATATAAGAGAATTTAAAAATTTTAAACTGTAAAACTTTTTCTAGTTAATTGTGGCCTCTTTACACGTGGGACCTACTGTATGTTTAAAATCTGATCATTATTTCATTGTTACCTTTTTATAGAAGTCCTTTCTATAAATGAAGGAAGTGGAGGCTTAGGAGGTGGTTTTGTATCAATATGTTTTGAAGAATTTCTTAAACTCAATATACTATCTGATGAGGTAGAATGATGCAATTGAGTCAAAACAGGAAAATCAACAGTTTTAGTTTGTTCAAGTATCTCTAATTCTCTGGGTGTTAATGGAATATCAGGTAATGAATTTCTATATGGGCTGAAAAATAAAACAAAATGTGATAAAATTATGAAATAATAAAATCAACAGTTTTAATTTGTTCAATTTTTATCTAATCCTCTAGGTATTAAGCAATATCAACAATAATAAATATAAATTCCAAGGAACCAATATTGACAAATGAAACAGAACATGACCAAGGAATCAAGATATTCCTAAGTTAAAGTAAATGGTAAGATTTAAAACCAGGAGGAGTGTCCACTTTGTCAGACATTTTTCTAAATTAAATGCAAATTGTAAAACACATAATAAGAGTAATCCATTTTTTTTCCTCAGAATTACATATTTTTTAATATGAAAAGAACTTTATGCTAAAATATTAGATAGCTTACAAATTAATCATCAGTTTTTTAAAACAACTATATTAAGAAGATTAAAAGCACATTTAACATTTCCTCCCTAAGGGTCGAACTCTATTACGAGAGAAGAGGCTTCTTAATTAATTAATAGTGAGTATCCATTTCCAAAACAATTTCATCCCTCAAAGAATAGATCCCATATAGAATACGAAGATCTTGCTTGATTTAATTTCATATACTATTTTTTTTCATGACTGAATGGTNATATATATATATGTATATGTGTATGTGTGTGTATATATATGTACATAAAAGATTTCGTGTGCTTTTTAACAATCATTAACATTCTAATGCTGATTCTTTTTTCTTTTAAAACAGCCATTTTTATATTCTATCTATGCACATGAAAGCCATCAATATTTAAACGTGAAATCTTTCTTTTCACTGAAATGAGGGAAATATTGTGAAATGCAACTAAAAAAATGGGTGAAATAAGTGACTAAGCCTTAAAAATAGTGAATAAAAGTTACTATTTTTTAAGATACTGACAGTAAGTGAGAAAAACAACTGATGTCGATCCCTGTAGGTTTTTCACACCTCTGCCTACAACAGTTTGCTTCCTGGAGACTGGAAGTTTTTACGTAATAAATTTGATAATGTGAAATGAAATTCATAACATAAAATGCATATTATTAAAATAAAACATGACATTTTTTTTCATAGTATCCCCTAAATAAAGATTTTCTTTTTAAGATGATTTAAATCCACTTGTAATTATACTATTCAATGCTTATCCAGTGGAATGGATGCAATAGTCGTTTAATAGAAAATAAAAACTACAAATAGTTTAGAAACTTTTGTTTTGTTTATTACTGTGGGGGAAATAGTTATCGACAATGTCAACCGTCATCTATGAAAAGGAACCCCCACCATAGAATCGAGTTAGCAGGTCTTACATACTAGCGAATTGTATTTGTAATTTTTTAGTGGTAGATACGCTACAGTACTTCCCCACCAGAATTATATCTGTGATAGAATTCGATGAATGGATACCACTAGCTGATTAATTGCTGTTTTGTGAGAAGCCGGGAGAGCTGTATTAAGATCACTGTACTTTTTGTGTGCTGATTGTGAGAGCTGTATTAAGTTCACAGTCGTGGTCGCTCCTGTGTTGCCTTTAGCAGTTGAGTGTATACGTTGTGTGTGATCGAGACTGAGAAGCAACAGCATGAGGAGGTGGATAATGTCGCAGTCACAAGTAGCAAGTCAACTATTCAATGTGGACCATCCAATGAAGTAGGCATTACTGTCGATGTAGGCGTGCTCATATCAAACTGGGCGTTACTGCCAAGGTATGCGTGTTAACAGCACATCCAGGTCACCAATGTGGGGGGAATAGTTATTGACAATGTTAACCGTCATCTCTAAAAAGGTACCCCACCATAGAATCGAGTTAGCATGTCTTATATACTAGTGAATTGTATTTGTAATTATGTAGTGGTAGATACGCTACAACTACTAAAAATTCTAGATGATAAAATTTGGTTCAGGCATTAAGTTGGACTTAACCTTAGAGTCAAAAATTATTATAACTGCTTACCTTTCAGGTTTAGCAGAGGATAAAGTTTGTTCATCACAGGGGTTTTGCAATTCTTTTTGTTGCAAGCGATCCAAAGAAAGCTGAACTAAACTCTGAAATAAAAGGTAGGAACAATGAAAAGGAAATAGGAATAAATGTTTTTTTCTTCAGTATCAATTTCATGAGTGTTTTTAAAGAAATTAACATCAGACATCTTGTCATAATTTACATACTTCCAATAAATTATTTTCTAACTATTGAAAAATTAGTTTTTCTTTTTTTAAGCATTACTGATCTTAAAAAAAGGTTTCCTTTCCTCTTTTATAAGACACTATGAGTAATTTACAGTATAATATGAGTAAATAATAGGCAAAACTTTATTTTTGCTTTCTCACTGTCTCAATTTTGTTATGAGACAACTTAATTATTTTTATTAAAATGTTTACTAAAATGACATTTAAATTTCCATATTTCATTAAGCTTTCATATTTCATTATACATTTTCCAAGTAGACTTTAATATAGAAGCAACAGGAAGCACATTAAATTTTGACATGGATAAGAATTTCTTTACTCATGATACATATTTCAATTTGAAAATAATAAAAAGTATTGAAAGAAACCCAATCATTTAGAAAAATATGGATAACACTTAATCTTGCTGAAAATTTGGGAAGAGTAAGAATTAGGCAATTATAAAAGTTAGCAAAACTACTATATCTTCCTACTTCTAAATCTAACTGTATAATATTTCAAATAACATAAAAATTTATTTTATAGATGAATTTTAAAATCTTTGATGTTATCATTTGAATCATCGCTTTCCAACTTTCCATTATGGGGGTCAGCAAATATATTATGGTTACTGTTACAAAAAAATAAGTCTTTGTACCAATATTTACTTCAATGTTAGTATTTTAAAAATGTTAAGATATAAATTAGCATCTTTTTACCATGATTCTCATCTGTTTTCTAGTAATTTCCCGTTCTTTGGCTGCAAGAGTTTGCAATCTTAGTTTTCATACTTTGTATTAGATTAATCAAATCTATCACTACAAAGCATATTTGTCAACATGTTTAATGTGTGGGACTGTTTAAAAACCAGTTATGGTATGTTGTATTTTAAATTGTTGGTTGTTTAGAGTTAAAAATAGTTCATCTTTTGAATCGAATGTCAGCAGAAAAATGAATACAAATGTTTTGGACATTTTAGAAACTTTTAATCAGAAAATTCCACTAAACTTGATCAAAGCATTAAATATGTAAAAATTTATACTTAACTTCCATGACTACTTTACAACCAGATACAAAAAAAATTACTATTAAGCATCCGAGTACAGTCTTTAACAAAAATATAAAAGAAAAACCCATTGGGTTATTCTGTGATAGTTTTCTAAAACAATTTTTAAAAATCATTATTTAAAAATAGATCTTTCTAATCTATGATTGATTCTGATCTTCTAATTTAGGATTAATAAAATAAACTATTTAGGTAATTATAAATTATTTTATTACTTTTACACAACATATTCTTATCATGAGACATAAATTTATACATAAACTTAGATTAAAGCTAAATGCATAGCCTGATATGAGACTGAAATTGTAGGTTATTGAGTCAAACTTTGAATTTCCTTATTCCATCAGATAGTTAGAAACATTCCATTAAGATTGTCTCAGATGTAACTTATACTTAGTAGAGAAACATTTGTATTGTTAAATTGATATTGCATAAATTTTTTATTTCAGATATTTTAATTTTATAAATGTCCAGACTAAGATGCTTAATGATCATGTTTCAATTTTTGGTCATTAATTATTGTGCAGCAAAAAAAAACAAAAAAAAAAGGTTCTTTGATATTTTTTACCTGTTACTACAGATTACAAAAGAGGTTTGCCTATTTTTCTTCAGATTTTAGTAAGAATTCACAAAGGAGAAAAGATTGGGAACCACTGATTCAAACAATATTAAATACAAAATTTTATTTTAGGGGTAATTTTCTATACTTAAAATAACTATTATTTGAAAAACAACAAAAGCATAAAACTACATAATTATTATTTCAAAGTACTTTTCAAAAAGTGTATTTTCATTTAGTTATTTCAAAATAAATGTCTAAAAGAAATATTAAAACAATAAGCCTGTGTTACACACATACACAAGTTACTACTTATAGGCTGTGTTCAACTTTCAAGCACTTTTTCTTAAGTTCGAATATTAAACTTAAATTAATTTACAGTATTTAATTATTAAATAAATTGCAGATCGATTCTATAATATCCATAAATATAGATTCTGTCACTCAAAGTTACACATTATTACAGGCATACATGCTGGTCAATTTATTATAATTACATGATTTTTTTTAAAAAGTATGCAATGTCTTCTTGTAAAAAATAATACTTTTAGAAGTCATGAATAAATTTAAAAGGTTTCAAGTATTTATTCAAAGAATATCGTGATTTTACAACACATCCAGGATTTTATAACAGTGTTTCAACAATATGAGATTGAGACTAATTTTCCAATCGTGTCTGGAATGTTTTAAAAAAAGGTTTGTTAAAGCATAATTATTTTTTGGAATATAAATGATGTATGGATTGTAGAAATATATATTGAATCCGTGGTCAGACAAATCAAAGCTAAAATCCAGGTCCAGGGAACATTGGGTCAAACCATACGCTATGTCCTATAACCGAGAAATTTTAATAAAACATGTTTGAAAGTAGCGAATTCATACTTTTGCCTTATATTCTGAAATTTGGGGAAAAAATTATTGTAAAAACTTTGCTGGCACTGAATTTACAGTATAATCACAACTAAATTAAAATAATCCTAAAAACAATCTAACTATTTAAATTTAAGTAAAAAACAAAGTTCAAACTAATCCATTCAGGTAATTAGTAATTGAACAGATTAATTAAGAAAGACAAAAGAGACCTAAAAGTGTCAAATGAAAGCAGTAAACCAATAAATACAAAAATATGTAAATGGCAGAAGTTAGGAGAAGATGTGTTACATATGTGATCAGAAATAATAATAAAAAAAAGCTCGAAAACTGTTGTGCCTAGCCTCTGTACAACTCTTACTTTAAATACAAAATGCATACAAAATAAAAAGTTTTCAGTTTAGCTATTTGAAATATTAACTGTTGAAAAAAATAAATGCTCTGAATCAATATGGACTGAATTAAGATTTTTTTAAAAAGTTTTTACATACAACTAAAAATATTAAATAAAATAAAAATTTTAACATAATAGATAATGAAAATTGCTTAGACACTTAACAAGAAAATAATAATTATTATTAAGATATTAATACATTTAAAGCATAGAAATACAGTACTTTTACTGCATCTTTTACAGCTTGAACTATTTCGCAGACATTTTCCTTTTCAGCAGCTTTTTCACCATACAGCAATACATTATCAGCCCATCGAATGAGATTTGAAAGAGTTTGGTATACCTGATTGGATGCAGATAACATCAAAGAGCTATGAAAAAATCATTATTAAAATATCATAATAATATATCATTATAAAAATACAATAATACAAAAATTATTTTTAAAGTACTATAGTAGTAAAACTAATACATTTCTAAATTTTTTTCTATTAAACTTACATCTTACAAGGTATAAGTGTCTGCAAATATGTAGATATAAGTACAACTGTTTTAATTAGACAATACACAAACTTTGAAAAATTAAGTGGTTTTATTGCATTCTTGTTAGAATGGTAACAGTTACATAAAGGGGTGAAAACCCCAGTAGTTAAACCCACAAATCTGCTTTGAGTAGTTAAGTTCAAGGATATTAGTGTTAGAAAGCAAAATAATGACATATTTTGAGAAAATCTTAATTTTTTAAAAGTTCCAATGAATGTCAAATATTTAGACAGGATTTTCTTTCTAAGACAAAGAAAGCATGTGTGAGCCTTCAAATAGTTTTTCTGGGTATACATTTCCCACCTTCATCAAGGTTTACTTAAATTAACAGTTTAAACCTCACAATCTATCTGTATTTAAAACTTAAACTATCATGATCTACAGCGTATCCGTTGAATTCAGTTTCCCATCTGCTTTGAGCAAGAATTCTAGGTTCAACGTGGATTTAATCAGAAATAAATGTATAAAAAAATTTCTAAAAAAGCAGACCAATATCAGTTTGTTCGTAAAAGGGTATATATTTCTCATTTTTAACTAATATTTCATTTTATTATAATATAGTGGGGTAAGACAAGTTTTTGATTGATGATGGGATGTGATATGAATGTGCACATAATTCAATTTACAACTACAGAAGAATTATAAGTCTGCTTCTGTTCTGAAGATTTGGAAAAAATGTGTTCCGGGTTTAAACAATCATGCAAAAAGAAAAACAAAATTGGAAAAGACACATATCTCAAATGGAAATTCAAACTCACATCTACAAGAGATTGTTCTCGGGAGTGAATGAGTGAGTAAAGCATGTTCATCGAGAAGAGAAGAAAAAAATTCTTGTTGTTCTTACTGATGAAGTCACCAGACCCACATGATTGACATGTTATGTTTCACTTCCATTACCCTTTAGAAAGATTTGTTCTTAAAAGTGAATGAGTGGGTGAAGAGCATTGGTCAAGAAAAGAGGAAAAAGTTCTTGCTGTTCTTTTTGATGAGATCACCAGCACCACATGATTAACGCATAGTGTTTAACTCCCATTCCTATCCCTTCAACTGCAACCAGTTAGCAGTTTCGATTTTCTTTTACATCATGACATTAGTGCTTCCAAAGTTACACATGGGATTTTGAGCTCACACTTTCTACGTTAGAAAGTTTTTGAGTTACTTTCATATGTGATATACCGCAGCTAAAATTTGTAGTCTTTCTTTTTTGAGCGCAAAAGGCCTGCTTTAAACTTATTAGTGGCTAAAATTGGAAGTATGGTGTATATGGTGGTGCAGCCTATAACTTAAACATTTATCTTCTTTATAAACTTTCAATATGCTTTTCACGGATGTTGGATGGTGCGTTCTATCGAAACTGTAGTGTTCAGTGACAACTCTTTTCTAAGTAAAGTATTAAACTAAATAGTAATCAAATATAAGCTTAACTAAGCATTATAATAAATCTTAGCTAACATTAATTTGGATAATGTAATATTTTTCATACATGTTTCCATAGACTTTGACTAAAATGCATAAAAATTATTCTTTCTAAAAAAACCTATTTTAAGATTCAATGACTATTAAAACATTCTGTGCTTTTCATCAATTTAATAATTCAATTTTAAAAAAAAAATTTTAAAGAAAGTCTGAATTTTTTTTCTTTTTTTTTTTTTACATAATGATGAAAACAAGTGGATAAAATACAGCAGAGTTATGTAATATTGCTCTAAGGTGAAATAAACTTATAATTTGACATGTATTTTTAAATGATATATTATGAGACTAAAGATGCATAAATTTGTGAAAAAATCAAGTGATTTAACAGGGGGGGGGGGAAATTTATAAGAAAATTACCTTTGTTCATTTAATAAAGATTCTTTCAAAATGGAATTGATATTAAAAACAGTTTCTAAAATAACTGTCGCTGATCCTGGAAGCATTTCAAGGATATTCTTTTCCACCACATCTTGAAAGTATCTTAGATCAGTAGAAAGTAGATGCACAGAATGTAAAATGGTATTTATATCCTAGAAAAAAGTTCAAATAATGAAACCTACTTGCAACTATAAAAAAGCAAAATATACATAGTATCTGAAAAAAGAATTGCATTTATAAAAGTAGAGAACATAATACAGATAGAGTTTTTTGGTGGGTCATTTTTGCAATTTAAAGTATTCTTCCCATGGGGAAATAGACAGTTCTTACTTTTCATTTTACACACCATAGTGAATCAATAAAAATGAAACTAAGTCATAATATTTAAAAAAATTTTAAAAAAGATGCAGCGAAGCAATTGTACTGAAAATAATTGAAAAGTATATTTGCAACTCATAATGTTGCTAATATCGATTTTTAATTGAATTTTCATTTGGCGTTTTATTAATAAATTCAAGATGCAATATATTAATTTATAATGGATGTCAATAAAAAGATCATGAAACTTTTAAATATAAAATGATAGAATATTAAAATAATAATTAATAAAGATTAAAATACACATTAACATAAATTGAGAGTTATCTTTTTTTTTTACCTGAATTATTAGCAAAACTTTAAAATTACAGTATAAAAATTAGAATGTAATTCTTCATTCTTAAAATTGTCTATTATAAAACATTAAAAAAAATTCACGTTTTCATACAAATTTTAATTTATTAGATTTTAATTTAATTGATTTTAGTTTAGATTTCTATTTCATAGAATGCTTGGAAAAATGAAAATTTATCTACAAAATATAATTCCAAAAAAAAAAAAAAAAATTCCAATAAATCTAAAGAAAAAACATCTCTGTTTAGAAATCACTTTATTAATAAACTTCTGTTTCATTTTAACAGGGATGAGATTAGCCAAAACGCAAAAAAGCTGAATTTCGACGATAGTAAATTTTACGCAAGCGCAACCCTTTAATAACAAATTCCAGACAGTTTAAGGTAATAAATAATGTGTTGACATACAATTGTGTACTAATCTATTATTATAAAAACGATTACATTGATACTTAACATTTAGTGAAAATAAAAATTACCAATTGAAAAAATAAAGCTGGAAATTATATTTTTCCTCAGTTCACATAAGAGACATATTACTTGAAAAACTACCTGGTTTAGCAAATTAAAACTACTGAGTATATACTATGAATAGC